TCCAAAAAAAAATCAGATTATGTCTCTATCTCTATCTAGCAAACCTTACTAGTGATAAGTCTGTCTTTGTCGCACTCATTGAATCTGCGTGAAAATACTAGGAAAAAATTTGACAGACATTTGGGACAAGAAAAAAACTGATTTTTTTCCAAAATATTTCGGATTATGTTTCTCTCTCTGTCTAGTACACGCTTCTGGTAATAAGTCTGTCTTTGTGGCCCTCATTAAATCTGCGTGAAAAAGCTATGAAAAAATTTGATAGAAATTTGAGAAAAGAAAAAAAGAGGATTTTTTTTTCCAAAAACATTTTGAATTGTGTCTCTCTCTCTCTGTCTGGTACACGCTTCTGGTAAATAAGTCTGTGTTTGTCGCCCTCAGTAAAGGACCCCAATATTTAAATGGAAATTGGTTACCCGTGATATTTGGATGAAATTTAAATATGTTATTGGGGATGCCGTAAGCAACATTTTTTACCAAGGGCACAACCCTGTATATATGACAGGTGAGGCGTGGTTAGCTGTCAAATATTGGAATCTTATATCCAAAAGCAGAGTAACTATGGCAGATTTTGATGAACAAAAAATCTATTTCTACTAAATCGACCAAGTTAAGTCGAAAAATGTCAACCATTTTAACACCTGTCAAATCCCTGCCAAACGGCAGCACTCATCTTTTCCAGTTTTCAATATTTTATGTTGTCATTTGACATTTTTAACTTATATGTAAATTCTAAATTCAGAAATTGAAAAAAAAAATGACAGAACTGTCAAAACCTGTCATTTGTTTCAGTAGAAAAAAATACTCTAATCTGGTCCTTTCTCGTTTTAAGGTAGTTTATTGGTGATAAAACATTGAACAAAGTCCATGCACGTCACATTTTGACAGCTGTCATTTTTTTTTTCAATTTTTGAATTCAGAATTTACATATAAGTTGAAAATGTCAAATGACAACATAAAATATTGAAAACTGGAAAAGATGAGTACTGCCGTTTGGCAAGGTTTTGACAGGTGTTGAAACGGTTGATATTTTTCGTCTTAACTTGGTCGACTTAGTAGAAATAGATTTTTCGTTCATCAAAATCTGCCATAGTTGCTCTGCTTTTGGATATAAGATTCCAATATTTGACAGCTAACCACGCCTCACCTGTCATATATACAGGGTTGTGCCCATGGTAAAAAATGTTGCTTACGGCATCCCCAATAACATATTTAAATTTCATCCAAATATCACGGGTAATCAATTTCCATTTAAATATTGCGGGGTCCTTTGTGTGAAAATACTAGAAAAAAAATGTGATAAAAATTTAAGATTGGGACAAGAAAAAAACAATTTTTTCCTAAAAACATTGTAGATTATCTCTTTCTGTCTACCATATACTTCGATGCTATGTCTGTCTTTGTCGCACTCATAAAATTTGAGAGAAAATAATACAAGGAAAAAATTTTACAGATTTTTGGGACAAAAAAAATAATTAAATTTTAACATTGAAAATGTTTTCATCATCACACGGGCAGGTAGTTTGGGGTAACAAATTCGATATTCTTGTGTTGCATTTGTCCCATATGTCCTATGCTGCTCCGAACAGCTCCGAGTAGTTGAAGCCGCTCCGAATAGTTTCAGCTGCTCCAAACAGAACAAACTGCTCCGAACAATTCGAACCGGTCCAAACAGCTAAAAACTTTTTCAGACAGTTGAAATTGCTTCAAACATTAATAACATAAACATCGCTAATGCTTCGAACAGTTCACACTGCTCCGAACAGTTCGAACTGCTCCGAATAGTTCGAGCCGCTCCGAATAGTTCAAACTGCTCCGAATAGTTCGAGCCGCTCCAAACAGTTGCCAATTCTTAGTTTCATGGCATAGCGTGCAACAACCTTGAGTTCGGTCTGAACGGAGTAGATCGAACTCTTCGCAATAACTCTGTTCGGAACACCTCGTTTCGGAGCAATTCAATTGGAGGACTGTTCGAAGCAATACAAACTATATGGAATAGTGTAAACTATTTGGAGCAATTTGAATTGTTCAGAGCAGCTTTGTCTGTTAGGAACTGTTTGGGGCAGGTCTTCGGAGCAATTTGTACCGTTCGACTTACTTTGGTGGAATTCAAAAATTAATGTTTGACTTATTTCAGATCTTACAACAGTCACAAGCGTTAAACTCTGCTTCGGCAAAGAAAATCGAATAATATCTCCCTCTATGTGTCATGTCTAGCACATGGTCCTGGTAATAAGTCTGTCTTTATCACACTCATTAAATCTGCGAGAAAATACCATGAAAAAATCGGATAGAAAAGGGACAAAAAAAAAAGATTTTTTTCCAAAAACATTCCGGATTATGTCTCTCTCTTTCTCTGTCTAACACACGCTTCTGGTAATAAGTCTGTTTTTGTTGCAGTTATTAAATCTGCATGAAAATACTACGAAAAAATTTGACAGAAATTTCAGACAAGAAAAAAACAGATTTTTTACCAAGAACTTTTCGGATTATGTTTCTCTCTCTATCTAGCACACGCTTCTGGTGATAAGTTTGTCCTCATCGCCCTTATTTATTCTGCGTGAAAATACTTGGAAAAAATTTGATAGAAATTTGGAACAAGAAAAAAATTGATTTGTTTCCAGAAACATTTTGGATTATGTCTCTCTCTCTGTTTAACACACGCTTCTAGTAATAAGTCTGTCTTTGTTACGCTCATTTAATCTGCGTGAAAATACTAGAAAAAAAATTGACATAAAGGAACAACAACGGAATTTTTTCCAAAAACCTTTCGGATTATGTCTCTCTCTCTCTGTCTAGCAAACGCTTCTGGTAATAAGTCTGTCTTTGTCGCCTCCATTAAATCTGTGTGAAAATGCTATGAAAAAATTTGATAGAAATTTGGAACAGCAAAAAAAAGGATTTTTTTCCAAAAACATTTCAGATTATGTCTATCTCTGTCTAGCACAAGCTTCTAGTAATACGTTTCTCTTTGTCGCATTCATTGAATTAAAATTAAAATACATACTAAGAAATAATTTGACAGAAATTTGGGACAAGAAAAAAAAAAAAAAAAAATCCCAAAAACATTTCAGATTATGTCTTTCTCTCTCTCTGTCTATACCAAACGCTTCTGGTAATAAGTCTGCCTTTGTCACACTCATTGAATATGAGTGAAAATAGTAGTAGTATTAGGAAAACATTTTTGAGACAAAAAAGAAAATCAGATTGTCTCTTTCTCGGTCTAGCATACGCGTCTAGTAATAAGTCTGTCTTTGTCGCAATCATTTAATCTGCGTGAAAATACAAGGAAAAGATTTGAAAGAAATTTGGGACAAAAAAAAATACGGATGTCCCTCTCTCTGCGTAGCACAAGTCTCTGGTAATAAGTCTGCCTCTGTCACACTCATCAAATCCGCGTGAAAATACATACCAGTAAAAAATTAGATAGAAATTTGGGACAAAAAAAAAATGGAATTTCTTCCAAAAACATTCTGAATTAAGTTTCTCTCTCTGTCTAGCACACGCTTGTGGTAATAAGTCTGTCTTTGACGCCCTAATTAAAACTGCGTGAAAAAACTAGGGAAAAATTTGATAAAAATTTGGGACAGATTATGTCTCTGTCTCTGTCTAGCACACGCCTCTGGTAATAGGTCTGTCTGTCTCGTGATGATTAAATCTGCGTGAAAATACCAAGGAAAAATTTAATAGAAATTTGGGACAAGAAAAAAACAGATTTCTTTTCAAAAACATTCTTGGTGTCTCTCTCTGTCTAGCACACGGTTCTGGTGGTATGTCTGTCTTTGTCGGATTAGTTAAATCTGAGTGAAAATAGTACTAGGAACAAAATTGACAGAAATTTGGAACAAGAAAAAAAATTTCCAAAAAAAAGAAGTAGGATTATGTTTCTGTTTCTGTCTAGCACACGGTCCTGGTAATAAGTCTGTCTTTGTCGCACTCATTAAATCTTCGTGAAAATGAAAATGGTACCAGGAAAGGAACAAAAAAAATTGGATTATGTCTCTCTCTCTATGTCTAGCATACGCTTTTGGTAATAAGTCTGTCTTTGTCGTACTCATTAAATCTGCGTGAAAATACTAGGAAAAAATTTGATAGGAAAGAAAAAAAAAATCATCTTTCACAATTCGAATTTTCTCTCTTTCTCTCTGTCTAACACACGCTTCTGGTGATAAGTTTGCCTTTATTGCATTCAATAAATATGAATGAAAATACTGAAAATAGTATTAGGAAAAAATTTGACAGAAATTTAGGAAAAAAAAAAAACGGATTTTTTTTCCAAAAAAATTTCGTATCTTGTCTCTCTTTCTCTGTCTGGTAATAGGATCTGCGTTTGTCTCACCAATTTGTTTCAAGAAAAAGGCGATTTTGACAAATTTTCAGCACAAAATAAAGAAAAATTAAGAGACAAGATATCTGAGTAAAAATTCCAGGGAAAAATGGAATATTTTCCAAAAAAATATCGGATTATTTTTCTCTCTCTGTTAAGCAGACGCTTTTGGTAATAAATCTGTCTTTGTCGAAATCATTTGTATTAAGAAAAAGTACCTAAATATTTGGGGCAAAAAAAAAAAATTGACAAAATATATATCTCTCTCTGCCTAGCATACACCTCTAGTCATCAAAATAATCCCTTTAAGACAGGAGTTTAGTCGTAGAAATAGGGAGAGCCTGAGACACTGTTGCCAAATGTATCGTTATCAGTGTTAGTCTTTCTATATAGCTTATCCAAACTAAGCCCCTTTTAATAATCCTAAAAAAATATAAAAAAACTTCAAAAAAAGGTGTTGCCTGCCATGACAATTGAACTTGGGTCACTTGATCCAAAAATCCAGCATATTCCAACCATGCCTCTGCAACTTATAAAAATACACTTGGCAACAGCGGATACTCCTTAAGCTCTCCATATTCCTGTGACTAGACTCTTTAGTTAAAATCCTATTTAAATGACGATACCAAAGTTACTACTCGGTATGGAAAGATTTAGTTCTGAAATTGGGGAAAACAAAAAAAAAAATATTTAAATAGAAAATTCTTCTCCTTTTTTATTTTTTTATCTTAAAACTAAAATCACAAAACAATTAACAAAAAATGCCAATTTCAAACTTCCTCGTTCGCTTTCTGACTACTTTTAGCCGGCACCTGATAATCGAAACTCTTACCTAATTTCTCGTAGCATTCTTTCACCCGCAACACCGCCGTCCTGTTGATGTTTTCAATACTAACTTGACTTAGGGCTTCGTTAAAGGTGGTTTCGATACTTTCTAGGCGATTTTTGGCTACTAAAACATCTAAATAGCAACTGTAAGCGTTTCCGACTGCTCCAGGAGTGACGTTGGAGATTTTCAAATGTTCAACCAGACGTTTTATGAGGTCTTCGTTTTGGGTATCGCGTGCGGTTTGGATGATTTTTTGGAACATTATTCGTTGGGCGTGTTTTAGGTAAGTGTCCCACAGGTAAGTGATTTTATCTTGATTGTTCTCGATAAAGTATTTGGTCCATAAAACATTCAAAGGCCCCACGATGCCTTTTTGTGCATATTTGATTGCTATTGTTTCAAATTTTTCTGTGTGTTCTGGATGTTTTTCTAATATTCCGTAGGCGCCCCCTCGCGGGAATTCGCTGCTAATTATTTCCAAACTATCCTTAGTGGCCTTGTCAATATTTTCTTCTAGTGTTGTTAGATATTCTTCAACTCTATTGGCCACAATATTGGCATGGCAATAACGATTGTCAAACGATACCAATCGTTTTACGTCAATTGTTAGTTTGTCACCAATTTGTTTTAACTGGTCCACTTGTCCTTGAGCAGCCAACTTGTTCAATAGAAACCGGAAAATTTTTTGAACAGGGAACGAGCCGTTATTGAGCATTTTCATGGTGACTTCCAAAGCATCTCCAAGCCTGTCTTCGTGGATTAGTTTTTCAATTAGCTGCGAGGCTTCAACTACTGAAGTGTGCTGCGGTTGTTTGTGAAACAATTGGAGGCCAGCTTCAAGGTCATTGGAAGCTAGTTTCTGTTTTATGGTAATGCGAGGTTTTGAGGGTTCCGGTTGCGAGAGAGGCACTTGTTGAGGGGGTCTTTTCTGGATTTTCGGGTGGGGAATTGCGAAAGGCACTTGTAGACCTGACGATTCAATTAAAAACACAAATTTTAACAAAATGGAAACCTTAAATTTGAGGCTGAATGATTCAGACGATGAGTTGTTTAAAATGAAATTTTGAACAATAATAATTCACCTATTTATTTAATATGTAAACTTCATTAGATAAAAAAAGATGTGGCAATACTTATTGGCCTCATTGCGCAAGACGAGGCAAAATGTTCCAAATCAAGCTAGACTTACATATTATAGCAAACTGTCTTTCTTATTTGCACAAAATAGAAAGAGAAGGAAGAAGACCATGTGACATGTATTTGTCAATCAAAAACTCAAACAACTGTTGAATTATGGGTTCTTGGAAATTGATAACTTATCAAGCTATGTCAAATACTTTTATCCTTTTCAGACCATGAAAAATGAATAAGGACAAAGAGATACCCAGCGTGAGGTTTAAACGCATCTAAATTATGCAAAATGCATACTCTGTACTAGTTGGCCAATGAAAACGCATTGCCTCGTGTTGCGCGCGCATACAGGTAAAAATATTTAGATGAATTTAATGTGAAAAACCTGAAGACTTTAGCTTTATTCCAACTCAGCAGGAAACTGTAATATTACCGTCAAGGATTCTGCGCAAAACCTAAAATTTTTGTGCAGAAACCGAAATTCGTAATTAGTGGTTGACAGGTTGGAACAAATCTATTATGGGATCAAATGAAATGGACTATTATGCACATTAAAAATTAAGTCATACTATCAACAATTCTTACCTTTTTCTTGTAAAAACGAGCCCAACTTTAACAAAAACTGATCAGTGGGCTGCAAATCTTCTTCCTGCATCTGCGTCCACAGCCCCAATGACTTTTCGGCATCGTTTTGCTTAATATAGCTAAGCAATAGTTGATAATATATGTCACTGCGATCAATGTGATTCAAATCGCGAGTGGCGTCTTTCAAACCTTCAAGAGGCTTGACAAGGCCTTCTTGCTGAAACCTGCAATAGATTTGTAACAATTAATGTTCACCTATGAAGAATTATTTACCTTTCACAAGCATTATTGATGCGTTGCGGTCGGTTTTGTAGTCCGGGCGTTTCTAGAATTTTCCTGGCTTGTCTTACGCGCCCGCATTCTACAAAACTAAACACCAAATCGTAGAGACTGTTGATTTCGCCGTGGACTACCGTGCTCAAATCTGTCAGTTTTTGTAGCTTGTCAGCATCTTCGGCTTCAATTAATTTGCAGGCCAGCTCGTTTTTCCACGGAGTCAACTTGTATTGATCTACACACCTGAAGAAAAAATTATTGCACACATTTGACAATAATTATTATTATTATCAAAATCTCACCATTCAAACTTCTTTAATGCACCTTCCAAATCACCATTGACAATGAAAACTTTTATTAAGGGTCCCAAAATAATAGTGTTTACATCCAGATAGTCCTTTTCCAATAAGGCCTCGAAAAATTTAGTCAAATCTTCCTGTCGCCCTTCTTCTGCCATGGAATTGAAAATGCGCCAAACCAAAGACGTGTAGGAATAAGAACGCTCTCCTTTATCGCAAGGACTTTCTAATTAAAAAAAAAAAAAAATGTTTTAAAAGTGTTTACAACACACAAATAAAATAATTACCTTCCAAAAACTGTATCGCCCTTTCAATTTGTCCATTCTTAGCCATCAAACCAGCCAATCGAACGCATTTGCTCTCGTCCAACTTGAAACTATCCTTTTCCAGTTCCTTGACCTTATTGAATTCTTCCATAGCCTCTTCTAAATGTCCATGCTGAGCCAAGGTGTCCATCAAAATCGCGTGAATGCCGCTACCAAAGTCGAAAGCGGGAATGTTTTGCAACTTTGCCAGCAAAGTTTTCATTTTTTCCAGATTGCCCTCGCGATGGTACAAAGTCAGCAAACGCCTATTGTACCCCAAACAATCCAGGTTTTTGCTTTCAAGATTTTCTATAAGTTTTTCTAGCTGAAGCACATTCATTTGATGGTAAGGAGTATAGTGGACTTTATTGGTAAGAGGCTTTGGGACTAGTTCACCACTAGTCAACTTAGACAAAATGTTTGATAAGTCTTCTGTCATTTTTTCATGCAAGTGACCCTCTATCAACTGAGCTGTTGTGTTTGCGACACTCAAGCCTTCCTCCAACAACCCTTCAAGAACTTTAGGAATAATTTCCACAAATTTTTTCGTGTTAGTTTTAGCCAAATCAATCAAAAATTGATCGACGCTGCCATCTTGCGTCAATCTCCTCAACAACGTAATATAACTTGCAACATCATTCGAATTCAGCAAAGCATGACTTAAAGGCCTCCTCAAACTTTCAATATTATATATAGCCTTATTAACACTAGACGCAATCAAAGCAGCTTCTTTAATATCCCCTTTACTCAACAAACTAGTAACCAAACTACTAGCAGAAGCCCCAATGGAAATATTAGCTTCTCGCAACAACGACAGCAGCTCAGTGCTTTTACCTTTGAGATTTGGCAACACCCAATCCCTAAGAGTTTCGTTGTTAGGTATCAAACCAAACAGCGATTGAATTTTTTGCAATATTGCCACAATTTCCTGGTTGTTGTGCTTGTTAGCTTGCAACAACGGCCAGAAATAGTGCTGCCTGATTTCCAGGTTTTGGGATTTGAGTTCCAACAACAAATCAAACGCTAGGTGGTTGAGGTTGAGTTCCAGGCTCACTTCTGTGGCCAATAAGATACCGCGTTGGTATAAACCGTCTAATTCCATTTGTTGGCAATATTTTTTGATTGTTTCTAGGTTGTGGCATTTGACTAGTTGACGGATGAAAAAGTTGCCTATTGGTACCAAAGAGCCGTTTGGAAGTTTAGATCTTTCTACTGTTTTGAGTATGTCGTAAGCGGCTTCAACTTGGCCTTTGTTGATTAGCCTCAATGTTAAATTGATTGCATCTTGGTTGTAGCCAATGTGTTTTTTGATTTTTGGTAGAATTTCTTTTATTAAATGTCCATGGTTGTTTGTGGCTAAAGAGTAAATTATGTCCAAATAGTCTTTGTCTAGTAGCCAAATTTCTTTGGCTTCGCATTCTTCTATTACTTGCTTTATTGTATCGATGTTGCCAAATTTAGCATAACCGCACAGTAGAGTTGTGTAGGTATCTGCACTAGGCTCTAATCCTGCTTGTTGCATTACGCTTAGTATGCCGTGAGCACTTTGCATATCCTCACATTGCGCGTGGCCATATATTAAAGAATTAAAAACATTTTCATTAACAGGCATTAGTTTTTCTCTCATAAACTCTAAAATCTTTGTAGCTCCGTCTATATCCCCATCCTGACAATATCTTTGTATCAATCTTTGATAAGTGACTCTATTAGGCTCTATACATTTCAATTCCATATTTTTCAAAAACTCCAAAGGAGAAAATTTGTACTCGTTTTCCAAATAAACACGTAAAAGGGCATTGTAGTGGCTAACATCCATGGGGACATTGATTTTGTTTAGGACAGTCCAAATTTCTTGGACCAACTTTGTGCGGACTTCGGGCAACTCGTCGGGCACCAAACTGCCGCAACATCGGATGACCAAAAGCGATTGGCTGCTGGTGGCAGAGCGTGCGGTTCTGATTTCTTCCAGGACATCTTCGATGTCTCGGCGACTTATTCGGCCTGATTTTCTCACGTCTTGGTCCAGAGAACGGAGCCGGTGCTCAAGGGTTTGGTCGACTGAAGCTTGCGTCGCTAGGGCTCTAAGTAAAGACAATATTCATGTGACCTTTATTTATTTATTTATTTGAGTACATTAAAGAATAACAAAAGTTCCAAATGGTGCATACATTAAAGATAGTATAAGAACATGAGAAATTGGACAAAGTTACATAGTAAAAACAGTTTTATGATTAGAAGGGAAAAGTAAAAAGAAGAACTTTTCCAAAAATATCTATTATCAACTGATAGAGAAAAATGACTCATGGTATATCACCACAAACCAAAGAAAGGGGTCATCCAAGTATTTTTCATAATTTGGTGAATCAATCACCAGGCGCAGTTTTTTGAGGGTTACTAAAAATAAATACAGTACAGTGTTGCCAATGTTACAAAATTACAGATAGGTATTTATTTGAAATAAAATAAAACACACATGGTAGGTATAACTTGTTTATTTTCCTGAAAAATTAACATTTTAAATAAATCAGTCAAACTGAAGTAACTATATGGGCAGGCCAACATATTACAGGTCAATTTTAATGCAATAGCATGAAATGTCTAAGGTTAAATAGAGAACGAAAACGATTTCCCGTGTTACACCTCCAATACGACGACGGCAAAGTCGAAAAACACTAGCCGGTGTTGCCGTTCCATAGAATACAGGGTGTATCAGGTTTGACTACAAAAATTTTAACACGTGAAAATATACCCCATTTTGAACAAAAAGAGTTTATACAACATGGGGTCCAAACTCAACCATTTTTAAGAAAAAGGCCTTCGAAGTTTTGACATTTTTTGACGAATATTTTAAAGATAAAGAAAATTTTAATCATTATGAGATGTAAACAAATTTAGTTTATTCAATTATTAAGTAATTATGCATTTTTTAGGCAACAACAATAGCAAAAAATTGAAAAAACAAAATAAAAATTTCACTTTGTAAATCAGTGTCTAAACATCTGGCAACATAGCACAATAAAGAATTGAAAATCTGGGAAACCCGCATTCAAATTCATTCTTTTTTGAAAATAAAATGTTTACAAACGTCGAATATGCAGATACTTGTTTAGGCAGAATCATTACAAATTGCTCATTTAGCCATCAGAATTTACAGGGAAACTAGGAAAAAAGTTCCCAAAAGAAAAGCACCCACCTGATGTAAGAACATTGTGCCCGTTTTACAAAGATTGCCTGATACAGGAAGTGTGAGTGTCCAAAATCTGGGTGTTGATTTTAGTGTTTTGAAAAATTTTTAACAAAAATTAATATTTTCATAATAAGGATTTAGAAAGTAACTGAATAAGTATTATTTGATTTTTCTCTTGAATGTTTAGTGCCAAAATATCATTGAGTGCAATTCACAACTTAATAAAATGGCACATTTTTTATTTTTACTAGAAGTGATAAAAATACAAGTTACTATTTACATTATTTGAAACCCAATAACTAGCCAAAACGTAAACAGATGAAAATAAATAAACTCCCTGCAAAAAAAAAAAACATTTTAAATTTACCAGTTTTATTTACATTTATATCTTGGCAGAGATAATACCTGTACAATGTTGTCACGTTGTTACCATTTTTCTAAATTTAAATTCTGTGATAACTCCGAAAATACTAACAATTGACCCATGGTTAATAGGACAGTTTTAGCTTGAAATGGGCCATATTATCTTAGGTTAAAATATTTGTACTCATACCTGATACACCCTGTATTTATGCATCGTGCATTTTTATCATGTAACCTTGATCATTTGGCAACGTTGTAACGAGGTATTATGCCCACAGAAACCATTTTTTTAGATCCTCGGGCTGGTGAAAGGGGAAACAGTTAGAGCACGCTTTTACTCTGTCCTTATTCCACTGAAACCTATCAAATTGTCATCTCTTTTAATCGCACTGGAAATCTCTGCATGTAAGACGTTGCATTGTCAATTGTGTTACATATAAAAAAGAATGAGCGTGTCTGCTTGTACTTGAGACAGACAACATGGCCATAATAAAATTTGAATTAAATAATCATCTTTATTGCTAAATACAGATTTTAAAAAAGATTTGGCAACATAGAGACCACAGATTGATGAAGACAAATAGGTTGTTCATTTGTACTTGCTACCTGCTCAAAAAATCAGGAAGATCAGCTGTTATTTATGAGCTTATTATACCTAAAACATTCAAGTTCATTGTATTAGACTTAGACATGAGCTGCTTAAGATCAAACAACTTTCTGACCTAACTTGAAGAAAATAACAAACAGTAATTTGCATATTTGTAGAATCAGTTTTCATCCTTATATTTTACATGCTTTTAGAAAAAGATGCGAATACAGTCAGAGCACATTGATTGACAAATGGAAATGGAAAACGCTAACTTAGCTCAGAAAATGGTCTGCTTGTAAGCAGCTAATGTAACAAGTATCCACCAAACCCTTGGAATATACTGAATTTTTTTACAATATAGTAAAGGATGCAAATAGGTTCTTTGATTTTTGAGCTTCTAGCGTTTTCAGAACGACTAGCACAATAATTTAAATATGTTTTTGAAAGAAGTAATGGCTGGTTTACATTTTGTTAACTGCAAGTGTTTAGTGTCAAATGTTAATTTGACATGTTGAAGTGTTACTGAACAGAAAAATAGAACACAATTTGATTTACTTGCACTTATAACTTAACACTTATCACTTGACAAATCCGTTCACAATTTGACAACTAAACCCTAGCACTACCAATGTCATTGAACACTACACACCTGCACTTACTAGGTACTTATCATAGAGAAATATAATAGTAGTAAACTACGAGAGAAGTCATTCCCCTGTACTTAACTGGCACTATGTCGACGTTAGCGCCTCTGGTGGCTACGGACAGCAATAAAAGAGTGAACATTGTTTAAATGCAGGTTTTTTCTTTACCGACAGTGAAAAGGCGGCTTTTTTGAATAATTCAATTATTAACTTTGATTTTATTTAAGATTTATTAAAAATAAAGTACTATAAACGCTCAAAACAGTTAATTGCAAAGCAAAACATTTGTTGAAAAAACTTGCTAAAATTTACCGAGCAACTGTTTAGAACGATAACAGAACTTATTTTTAAAAAATCCGAATTAGATGCAATGAGATTCCTTAAGGGGGTCAAGGTGGTAATTGAACAATATAAAAATTGAGATATCTTCAAACAAACTTATTTTTTCATTCCAATTTTATAAATATACAGTAACTAAAAATGTTTGTATTACTTACGAGGGGTGTACACGAGAGAGCGTTTTTAAAAAACTTTATTTGACTAATACAATAGAACTGACTTAAATCTAAAAATTACTCCTTTTATAATATAAAAAATAAGCTGAATAGAACAATATAAATGCTGAATTGGAGTTCTCACGAGATATAACTTATTATAAGCTTTGTGTTTACCTTTTTACTGCATCTCGCATCATCGCAAATTCGAAAACACACTAATATTGGTGTCGGTTTTGTCTAATTAATTAATATTTATGATCACAGAATGTTTTCTCATTTCTCTAATATAAATTATAGAAGAAATTTTAAGTTATGATGATGAGCATTCAGTTTTTGATTGATGGTCTTCGGATTCAATCATAGACGATTCAATAATTTGTCAAATTTTGACAATTTTGTATTATTTTGTATGTGTTAAAAAAAGATAGAACATTTTCGGGCAAGTTGCTGACAAAGACAAATTAAACCGAGTTGTCAGAAACGATCGAAGTAATTAGTTCAATAATCTGCCACACCATGCGAAATACGCTACGGGTATGTGCACAAACACACTTCCAGATTGTTACATTAAACAAACGTCTCTCGTAGTTTACTACTATTATATTTCTCTATGGTACTTATCAAAGTGTAGTCTGGCCTTGAAAGTGACCTTATTCGACTATTCTATCAACACTAGCTCTGTTTCAACCGACATGAGAACCGTTCTAACACAAAGTCTCAACAAAAAAAAAATTGATCATATCATGATGATATCAGCAGGCGAACTCTCTAACTCGATAGAAATAGAAATAGAAAAATAATAGCAAAGGGAAGAAATTTCTTTCTATCGACAAATGCTACTCTCTATGACTTTTTCCTGAAATCTTCGAGTAACTTCGTTTATAGAGAAATGCGTACTAACCAATCTGAAAACATTGTGACAGATTTTAGACTTTTTCGATTTTCAATAATATACCGGTGTTTTTGACACACATTTTTTATTCATTTTGTCTGTGCATACTGAGCTCTTTCGATGGTGTATACCCATTGTAACCATCACACCAGGCTGGATAAAGGTTCCAATAACCCAAGCAGAAAAGGACATGAAAAAAAAGCCAAGATTCTCGATGTAAATGCGGATTCTAGGGGTGCGAGCCATGATTATTCTATATGGAGTAATTGTCAATAATGTTGTCTGTAATATGTACCGTTTATCACTTCCATAGTCCAATTCATAGTTAAATGATTTCCTAATTCCTCCCATTTATGCTTAGTTTCACTGCATTCCCGTAAATATCAGTTGCCAATATGTTTTTTGTGGCGCCATATCAAAGAAATTTATGTCACTCTTTAATCACAAATCAAAACAAAAAATCATATTGAAAAAAAATAGACGAAGATAAGCTTATGTCATTTGTTATTGTGTAGAAAGAAAAGGAAAAATACCAAGACCAAGAAGGGTCTTTCTATTTCTTTTGACACGAGCAGGTAGTTCGGGGTAGCGATTCTGGCCGAGTGGGGTTAGGGAGTTCCGTTTCATCGATTTTCTATCATGGAAATGATAACTTCTACTAGAGAGTAACTATTTAAACATCTTGTATCAATGTTAAATTATATTTATACTATAAAATGAATTAATTATATTTTATTATATTGTATTGTATTATATTATATTATATTGACGAGTTCTACACCAAAAATGGTATAAAAAATATTGTGAAGAACATAAAATGAATAAACTAAACTAAACTAAACTAAACATGGAAAGGAAATTTATCTCTATGTTGTTACAGAGTAGGGCTGCAGGTCATCTTAACAAAAAAAAAATTGAAATTTCATTGTTTTAGTAAGAAGGTACTTACGGCCGTTTCCACTAACTATTTTGGGAAAGCCTTAACGATAAGTATTCCATAAACTGACATTTCTCCATGGAAAACTGTCAGTTTAGGGGATACTTATCGTTAAGGCTTTCCTAAAATAGATGATGGAAACGGCCATTAGCTACCTTATGATTTATATTTTGGAAAACATTGAAAGGTCATAATTTTTCTCCTATTAAAGATAGAAAGCTGAAATTTTCAGCGATTCTTATCCCAGTAGAGGATTACAATCCCTGAAAATTTCAGCTCATTTGGACTTATAGTTTCAGAAATAAAATCGTGTTAAGCAGTTTGGGGTGATTTATCAATTTTTCAATTTTTCTGAGTGCATTTTTTCATAGAATCCGGCTCCAAGTCTCAGAAAGATTTAGTGTATGGAATTTGGGGCTCCCAGACATACTCAAATGTCCCAGAGGACTATTGAGACAAAAAAAGTCCATGAAAAAAGGCAGTGACTACTGCACTGTCCAGACAGTGTCGACTGAAAACTATCTGCACTGACCAGACAGTGCCACCTAAAATCTATCAACACTGTCTAGACAGTGCTGACTGAAATCTATCTGCACTGTCCAGACAGTGCCAACTAAAAACCATCTGCACTGTCCAGATAATTTAATCATCATATTATCATATAAAGTTATAGTTATATTCAGAATGGCTTGCAGTCCTTGCTGGGATTTAGTTTATTATTAATTATTTTTGTTATAAGTTCACAAAATGAATGTTTTTTCAATAGTACCTAAGAGTGTCAATTTTCACAGGTCAGGTGGAGGCCAATAACTCATTAGAGGGTGGCCATAAACACAAATGTTGCATACAAAATACAAACAACATTTTCCCTACAAGCGTGCGCAAAGTAGTAGGTACTTTTCACGGAGTGCGGAAGTGGAACTTTGAGTACGGAAATGCGTGCGGAAAAGTACTACTTTGAGCACGCTCGTAGGAAAAATGTTGTTTGTATTTTGTATGCGACATTTGTGTGTATGGGTATCTTCGAATGAATTTTTGGCCTCGACCCGACCTGTGAAAATTAGGCTTTTAGGTACCTTGAGGTATTGAAAAAAAACTCATTTTGCGAACTTATAACAAAAATAATTATTAATACACTAATGGCCGTTTCCACCAACTATTTTAGGGGAGCCCTAACGATAAGTATTCCCTAAAATGATATTTTTACATGGAGAAATGTCAGTTTAAGGCATACCTATCGTTAGGGCTCGCCTAAAATAGTTTGGGGAAATGGCCATAAATCCCAGCAAGGAATGCAAGCCATTTTGAATATAACTGCAACTTTATATGATATGATAATCAAATTATCTGGACAGTGCAGATGGTTTTTAGTCGGCACTGTCTGGACAGTGCAGATAGATTTCAGTCGGCACTGTCTAGACAGTGCTGATAGATTTAAGTCGGCACTGTCTGGTCAGTGCAGATAGTTTTCAGTCGGCACTGTCTGGACAGTGCAGTAGTCACTCCACTTACTCCCATGAAAAAAATTAAAATTCAATCGCTTCAATAGGTACTGAGCACAGATTTTTAGATTTAGGAAAACATTCAAAGGTCATACATTTTTTTCTATTATAGATAGAAAGATGATGAAAGTTTGAGCGATTCTTATCCCATTAGAGGACTACAATCATAATCCCTGAAAATTTCAACTCATTTAGACACAACGGTAATTTCCACTTATCAATTCATTTGTCAAGTAGGATAAACGTTCAACCTATTGAAAAATAGGTGGACAACTGGAAATTAATGGTTCTGGAATTGATTTTCCAGTTTGATAGAATACTTTATTTGAATCGAAAAATAGTATAACAGCTGTACCAAGGCCTCTTAAATGCCCTAAAATAAATCATCGTTTTGAATCAAGCCCCAAAAATTACGCAATGAGCCCCCCTCAAAAACATCCCGGGATGTAGATGTAAATAACATAACCTCAAAATTACGTTTTATGTAATTACTCACCTGGGGATGGCCCCGCAGTAACATTGCACTGTGGCAGCGTTGACCAAATTTCCGTCGAACTCTCTGGGGGTGTTTGAGACTACATTTCTGGCAAAACCCGCGATATATCGCACAAATTTCGAAGATCTTAAAATTGACGCCATTAGGCTGAAAGCCCCTTCTTATTTAATTAATTGAAATGATCCATAGATGGCGCTGGATTTTAGTGACTTTTGTAGGAATCTGCAAATATTATTAAATTCGAAATTTATGTTCGCGGTTCATATAGCGACTTAATTGATTTTCGAATAGTTTTAGAACTCGTTTTGATTGGATTTAAAATTAAAACAAGGCTTCTACCGCCTCTGAACCAAATTACAGCTTCCTGTACAAACCAGACATACCGTAACTGATTTAACAATGTTGCCGCCAAAGCTAATTAATTAAATAATTTTTTGCATTCAAAACAGTTGATTTGACTGTTTTGAGTCAAATTAATAACGAACTATTTCACTTCAGCCAAACCGTAAGTTCACGAAGCCCTGAAATAGTTAAAATCATTCAAAACTATTAAAAACAAATTTACTATTGGCAACACTGTATCAAGCTTCGAATTGTCAAAATCAGCCGCCAAATATCCGGAAACAACTGTCAGAAACAGCCAAAAACCGTTGGAGGCCGCATAGGTGAAGGTCTCCATTTTCCCTTCATTTCAACAAAAACCCAAAAAAAAAAAACTCCAAATTCAATTTCGGACCGCAATGGCCACCATCAGAATACACGAGGACCAAGAAAACCAACGTCGCGAGCCCTTGAGAGTGAAAAAAATGCAAAACGCCATGGGCATCTCTAATGGAAATGGAGGGAAACAGCAACAGCCCCAGAAAAGGGCCGTTTTGGGACAGATCCAGGCCAACGTACTGGACAATAATGTACAAGCTTTCAAGCCGAAGTTGGTAAGGATTTTCATTTGGAATTTTTTATTGTATTTTGGGGCCCCTTTTTTCCTTGGTCTTCCGGAAACTAAGTTTATAAAAGTTGCAAGGATGAAATTCGGGGGTTTAATGGGGCTGTTAATTTAATGTTTGGGGCCCCTTTTTGAGCAGTTTTTCCATAGCAGGGTTTGCTGAAGCTTTGGTGCAAAAGAAATTTACAAAGCTGAACGATTTTTGAGATATTTGAATGACTCTGAGACAGTTTTTGCTTCACAGCTCCATTAATTTGCATCCGATTTCAATGTTATCAAACTCAAATTAAAGCCGATTAAATTCTCTACAAATCTCTTAATTGATATTTGAATTTGGTTTCAACAGTTTTGCAGCTGAGAAGATTAAAAATTGAAATTATTGAACATTGAAAATTTTCCAAAAATGACACTGAGACAGTTTTTGCCTTACAGCTCCTTTAATTTTTATCTGATTTTAGTGTAATTGAAGCTGATTAAATTCTCTACAAACCAGTTAATTAAAATTTTGATTTAATTTCAACAGTTTCGCAGCTGAGAAGCTTCAAAATTGAATGACACTGAGACAGTTTTTGCCTCACAATTTTGTTAATTCTCATCATATTCCAAAGTAATTAAGCTCTAAGTAAAGCCAATTAACTTCTACACAAACCTATTAATTAAAATTTTAATTTGGTTTCAACAATTTTGCACCTGAGAAGCTTTAATATTGAATTTATCGAACATTGAAAATTTTCAAAAAATGACACTGAGACAGTTTTTGCCTCACAGCTCCGTTAATTTTTATTTGATTTCAGTGCAATTGAGCTCTTATTAAAGCCAATTAAATTCTCTACAAACCTGTTGATTAAGATTTCAATTTTGTTTCAACAGTTTTCCCCTGACAAGCTTCAAAATTGAATTTATCAAACATTGAAAATTAGCCAAAAACTACACCGAGACAGTTTTTAAAAGGAAATGGCAGCTTTTGCCTGACAGCTTTGTTAATTTTTATCCGATTTGAGTCTAATTCAACTAAATTCTCCTTCTGATTTTTACTTTTATATTCAAGAATTATTGTTTGATAAATACCTATTGGTTGACTTTTTTTCCAAGATTTTTCCTTAGAATTTCTATTTTGTTCAATATGTATAGATAGATAAGAAAAATGTGAATAATCTTAAATTTTGGATTGATATTTGGCACTATGGTAGGAATGAGTTCTCTATGAGTGTGTTTTTGACATGAAAAGCCCAAAGCCGAGAGGCAAACCACTCCTCTAAAAAATGTACATGTATTGCGGAAACCCTCAGGGCTGCCATGAGAATTTAAGAGATTTCGAAGATTGCCATGAAAATCCAAATGATTTCCAAGATTGCAGGACTGCAAAATGATTACTGCTGGACTGCGAAAAAAATACTTGCGATTGCCACATTGATTTCGAGCGATTTCGAAGGCTGCGACAAGAAATTTAGACACGCCCCTATTCATAAGATTTCCGCGATTGCAAACATAATTTTTGCGACTGCGAATATGATTTCTGCGACTGTGAACGTGATTTCTGCGAATGCGGGATTTCGGGCTATTTTGGCGACTGTGTAACAGAGAATGCAGGATTTCCTTGTGATTTCGGAGAAATTTTAATAAAATGTACATGTATTGCGGGGAGTGGTTTGCCCCTCGACCAAAGCCTAGTGGGTTTTTGTCAATATCGATGGTGGGTTTTTCTGTATGCCAACTTGGATATTAACAAAGTCATGCAAACAGTATCACGTACACATCACTCTGTCGTTTTTTGTTTTTTCCTGCTTTCAAAGGCATAGAAAAGGATCCTGCCCAAAGTATACGGAAATTGTGTTTATGTCAGAATTGGCTGAATTTTGTATATAATGTAGATCATCCCTTTCTGATTAAAAGTTAGCATTGCACCAATCCTGAAAAATTACTCTTTTTTGAGAAAATTAATTTCTTCACTCTTCCTCTATCTATAACCTCCAGAGAAATTTCGACGCCAAAACCTTTGCTAATCGATTTGAGAATGTTTCAAGTATTGTCATAGACCCAACCAATATTGAGAGGGCTTCAAAGCAAGTGGACATCAACAAGTCTGCAGGACCTGATGGTATTCCTAATATAGTATTGAAATGTTGTTCTAACACTCTGTATCTCCCTCTATTTATTATTTTCAACAATTCCTTAAACTCTGGAATTTTTCCAGAAATGTGGAAGCTCTCTTATGTTTGTCCTATTCACAAATTCGGTAGCAAGAATAATGTAACAAACTACAGACCTATCAGCATCCTGTCTAATATTCCTAAATTATTTGAGCAGTGCATTGAAAATATTCTTTCAAAAATATTTCATCAGATTGTGATCAGTCAACAGCATGGGTTTACAGCCAGTAGATCTGTTGATACGTACCTGTGTCTCTTTACAAATTTTATAAATTCATCATTTGATAACAATGCAGAAACTCGTGTAATATACAGGGTCCCAACTCTTTCATAGGAACAGTATTGCTATCTCTGAAACGGTTAAAGTTACGAGGGCATTTAAATTAGAAAAAAGATGCCATTTTTGAAGAATAATAAAAATAAATTTGAGTTGTTGCCAAATTTCTATTAGTTTCGCAAGATTTTTGAAAATTTGCTAAAACAATTTTATCAAATATTTTAAAATCTATTGATTTTATGATCAAATTCAAAAGTATTATATTTTTAACATTCTTCAAAAATGGCAACTTTTTTCCAATTTAAACGCCCTCGTAACTTTAACCGTTCCCGAGATAGCAATCAATGTTGTCCCTATGAAATAGTTGGGATCCTGTATACTGACTTCAATAAAGCCTTTGATAAGGTAAACCATAACATCCTTCTTTCAAGTTATGGTGTTTCTGGATCCTTACTTTCATGGATGAAATCTTACCTTACTAACAGAATGCAACAAGTCAAGATTGATGGCTATCTGTCTTCTTTTTTCCATGCATTCTTTGGAGTAGTACCTCAAGGCTCTCACTTGGGCCCCTCTCTATTCATTTTATTCATCAATGATTTAGGATAGTTGTTCTCCTCGAATTTTTCACTCTTCACTGATAATTTGAAGTTGCATCGTCTGGTGACGTCAGCTCAAGATATACTTATTCTGCAAAACATTGTTCATGATTGGTGTCAGCTTAATCATTGTTCCTCAATATTGATAAGTGTTGTTGTATAAGATTCAGTAGACTTACGACTCACTCGTTGGGTTCCCTTTCAGTATATAAATAGGTGATGTTTGCTTGTCTGAAAACATTTCAAAATATAGTGTAGTAGAAAACTTCAGATATCTTTTGATATTTTGAAAATCTTGATACATTTTCCAGTTTTTATTCCTTTTTCTTTGCAGCAATCTCTGGCTACCGAACCAGCGACAACATCGAATCAAGACAAGGAAAACTGGCAGCAGAATCTCAAGAAATCCATTGTCAATCCGATCATTCCTATTGCCAAGTTTGAGGCTTTCAAAGTCTACGAAGACAAAGAAGCTTTGGCTCGCGTCGATGCCTATCTCACCTCCAAGAGTACCTCGCAGGTTTACAAAGGGATCAGCAATGAACGATTCTCTAACAAGACTGAGGTAAGAAACAATCATTTTTTAAAAAATCAAAATTGTAATAATTATTTGAATCAGGAACATTTTAACAAAAATTATGATAAACTGCATATGCATTAATTTATTTTTCTACAGAAGCATAGAAAAAGGAATACATTTTTGGAATTAGGAATACCTATTCAAAATTTGCAATAAAGAACTCAGAATAATTTAACTTGAGCTTCTCAATTGGGGTTTTATTTTAATCAGTAATTCAACAATAAGAATGTTGGGATAAAAATCCAACTTTTGATTATTTCCACTTCTAAATTGGGTGTCTTTGATTTATTCAAAAAAACACCCATAATAAAGCAATACAATGTTGAATGTTTTTCTATCAGATTGAAAAAATGGAACATCAAGAACTTGTTCCGAAAGAAAAGCCGCGCACGCCCAGTCCGATGAGCGTCGACAAAAACTACGAAAACGAGTTCATGGACACGATGCGCTCCTCTCAACAAACCCAAGAGGGCGACGAGTATTTCAAAATGGACGAATACAGCCAAGACATTTATTGGTACTTGCATCAGCTGGAAAAAAACAACCGAGCCAAATCCGGCTACATAAACAAACAACCTGACATTTCAGCTTCGATGCGTTCCATCCTAGTAGACTGGCTCGTTGAAGTAGCTGAAGAGTACAAACTTCAAACTGAAACCTTGTATTTGACTGTCAATTTTGTTGACAGGTTTCTGTCGTATATGTCAGTTGTTAAGGCTAAGCTTCAGCTAGTAGGCACTGCTGCCATGTTTCTAGCTGCAAAGTTGGAAGAAATTTATCCGCCAGAGATTGGCGAGTTTGTTTACATCACAGACGACACTTACACCAAAGGCCAAATAATCCGCATGGAACATTTGATTGTCAAAGTTTTGCACTGCGACCTCGCCTGCCCCACTCCTTTGAGTTTCATCAATTTAATTTCCACCATAAACAATTTGGAAGATAAACAAAAATACTTTGCCATGTTCTTGTGCGAATTGTCCTTGCTGGAGGGCGAAAACTTCTTGGAATTTGTCCCGAGTGAATTGGCTTGTGCCGCTTTGGCCATTGGTCGATTGCACACTGTACCAACCGCCTCAGTGTGGTCACAAGAGTTGCAACGGACCACCGGATATAAGTTGCAAGATTTGGAAGATCCGATTAATTTTTTGTATAGTGTGTTTAAGGCCGCTCCCGCCTTGCAACAGCGCTCCATCCAAGACAAATACAAAAGCCAAAAGTATATGAATGTGTCGGAAATGAAACCGAAATATGAACAATTTCCATTTTAAGATTTTGTTTATTCTTGGATTGTATATATTTTTGTTTACTAGGTTAGTTTTTTTTAGTGACGTTTTTCTATACTGAGTTTTTAAAAAATATTCTAATTTTTGCACGAAAAGGACTATTTCAGTTTTTTAGTATAATTTTTTATTTGTACTCGCATTATTGAATTGTACCAGTTTATATTGTCTAATTTATTCAATTTTTTCTGCCATATATTATATTATATTGAATAAATGATTTTGAGATTTTCCAAGCCAAATATATTGTTTGGCGTTAATTTATTTTGAATGACACTATATTTTTCAATAAAATAGTTCAATAATTGATTCAAATTTGTTTTATTGTAATTTATTTATTTATTTATTTACAAACTCTACAGAAATACATCCAATTATAGAGTAGGTTGGTAGAACTTAATTTATTAAATTACTAAAAGTATTACAAATATAAGGTTTAATAGGGAGGAAATTACAATATTTCTAGGAGCAGTCTTTTAAATCTATATATATTAAAAATATCATACTGGTCTCTTACTTGGTTATACAAGTTTAGTTTTAATGAGAGGGTTCAAATAATAATTTGTTCTTCCATTATCCACATACATGGTTACAGGATTTTTTGTATGATAATTTGGCACATGAAAATTTATGAATGGTAACAAATTTGGGTCGTTTATATTATTATTAACTAGCTTGTGTAAAAACAATAAATTTGCCACAGATCTGCGACTTTCCAAGGTGTGTAAATGATATCTTTTTAAAATGTCAATTTTAGCTATATGGAACTATTTATTTACCTGTCTCTTTGTAATTAATATATCTAAGCATTTTATTTTGAACTTTTTCCAAGCTATTCTTATAAATATCATAGTGAGGGCTCCAAACAACAGAGCAGTATTCTAGAGTACTTCCTATGTATGATACATATAGCGTTCTTATACATTTCACATTAATAAAATCCCTGCAGTTACGAGCAGAGTTACGAACTATAAATAATAATAATAATAATAATAATAATATAATTTATTTGTAGCAATAAAACATTACAAGTTATGGAATTGTTTTACATTCTAAATTACAGACTTCTACAAAATGGGGTCAAAAGGCAGTAATACTGATGCTAAGTTTTGACCCCAGTACTAAACTAAATAGAACGTGCGTATTTAAAAATACCAATATTATCAATCTCAATTAACAAATTAATAGTGTTGTGCTTATAAATACTCTAGGGGGAATGCGTAAAAATGAATGGGAAGGAATGCAAACAAATATAAAGAGCGATACCACTTAACAACGGAGAACTATCATTAACGGGTCAGGAGATATCTATACCTTTTTCGGAAGACATTCAAATTTAAGCTTTTGAGTTCTGTCGGAATATTATTATACATCAAATAAATATTAAATGTAAAGCATCTTTCATAAAAAACAGTTTTATGTGAGGGTGGCGATAGCAAGCCGCGAAATCGGAGATTCAAGGTATGAACATCTGACCGGAAACTTATTTTATGATAAAGATACGAAGGAGACTTGTGAAGTATTACCGAATGGTAAAGGCATACTGCATGCAAATGCCGTCGAGAATCCATATTAAGCCAATAAGCAGCTACCAACTTGTGAGAGACAGGTTCAAATTTTCTTATACCATAAATATATCGTAGACACGATTTTTGTACCTTTTGTATTCGTTTGGAATCATTTTTTGGTTATGCAGGGCCCATATACCACATCACAGAAATTGAAATGGCTAAGAACCAACGAATCGGTGAGGCTTATTTTTAACTTCTCCGATAGGACATGCCGATGAGGATACAACATTTTTAGATTGGCATATGCTTTTGCTAGGCACTTATTAACATGTGACGAGAATCGTAAATCTGTATCAAATTCTAAGCCTAAGTTACGAGCTGATTCAGCACATTTAAGATCAATATTAACTATTGTAATTTTAATACTGTTAGCAATTTCTTTTCTATTTTTACCAAAGATCAGAACCTGAGACTTGCTTGGATTTATTGATAATTGGTGCTCCTCCGAATGCCTCACCAACCTATTTAATTCATCATTAATGACGGAATTGGCATACTGCCACTCTAGCGGCGAGAAGGAATGCAGCAGCTGGGTGTCATCAGCATATAAGTACAAAGAACAATTTTTCAAGCAACCTACAATATTAAAACTGTAAATACAAAAAAGAAGTGGTCCCAAGATTGAGCCCTGGGGCACCCCACAATAAATACTTCCCATATCAGAAATCCCAGCGTTTGTTTCTACATATTGAAACCGACCAGAAAGATAACTCTTCATCATCTCGATCGAACTTTCCGAGAACCCAATGTGGTGTAAAATCGAGAATAAGATCTCGTGATTGATTCTGTCAAACGCCTTGGAATAGTCCAACAGTACCAGAGCAGAACACTTACCATCATCAGTTGCTTTTATAATGTCATCCACGACGTCAAGGAGGCAAGTGGCGCAGCTATATCCCTTTCTAAAACCGGACTGTCTTTGAGGCAAAATATTGAAAGTATTAATATGTTCTCTTATTTGCCCCGCCAAAATTTTCTCCATCACCTTAGATAATGGGGACAAAATTGAAATAGGACGTAAATCACTATAGTCTCTTGCTTCTTTTTTTTTGGAAAGTGGAAGTACTCTGGATATTTTCCATGATTTTGGGAAATAATTTTCAAGTAAACAGGTATTATATATATGGACCAAAAAAGGCATAATATGGGGACAGCACAGCAACAGCATGTCAATATTTACCAAATCATGACCCAAGGCCTTAGATTTAATTTCCACTAAATAATTGTAGACAATGCGCTCGTCTACCAATAAAAATGATAGACTAGGTTCAAAGTTTGTTCTCAATGAAGATGATAAATAAAAGTCAATCAATCCCTGTTCAGGAACGGTGTATTTTGAGAACTGCAAAAAATAGTTGTTTATTTCGTTGGGTTTATTCAAATTTGTAGGCAAAACATTATTAGGTTTTTTATTATAAACATCAAGATTTGCAAATTCCTTCCATAGTGCTCTGCCATCATTTCTATATTTAGCAACGCAAAATTCTAGGTAACCCTTTTTTTCTCTATTTATGGCATTAGTGGTTTCCTTCTTAATTTGTTTATAATATTCCCAGTCATTCTTTAGTTTAGTTTTTTTGAATTTATTAAATGCTTTATTTTTTAGTGATACAAGCTTTTTTATAGGGTCTGTGAACCAAGGAGGGTGAACCTTTTTTTCTTGAATTCTTTTATTGGGGAAATAAAGTCAAATAATTCTAAGATTAACTTAGTTAAATAAGCGACCTTGGCGTTGACGTCGATTAAATTTATGATATCTTGAAATGGAGTATTTACCAACAATTCATTAAAATGGTCTCTATCTATCCGTCTTAAGCTTCTAGCTTTAAAACTGGTACAATGAAGTTTTGTTTTATTTGATCCACACTGACAAAAAACCAGTGAATGATCAGATATATTATAAACATTTTCAGTGCCAAAAATACAATTTTCTCTGATAGAGACAACTATAACATCCAATAACGAAGACGAATTTTTTGCTACCCTTGTGGGTACATTTATAATTTGTTTTAGATTAAAGCAACTTAAAGTATTTTCAAAATTTAGAATATTTCGATTATCATTGTCAAGCATGTCAATGTTGATATCCCCTCCACACAAAATGTCAGAGCACACCGGTAAAAATTCGGATATAGAATCCTCAAATGACTCCAAAAAATCTCGAAAATTACCAGCAGGTGGCCTGTAAAAAGAGCCGAAAATGTAGGTTTTTTTATTTATTATGATCTTTAACCAGATTTCCTCCAAAAAGTCCGCAATATTTCCCCTCAGATGCTCATACCTCAATCCAGATCTCAAATACACAGCCACACCACCGCCTCTAGTGGGCCTATCCTTACGAATAAGCACATACCCATCTATAGTAAGTAAATTGTTATGAATACTATTTGATAGCCACGTCTCTGATAATCCTACCACATCATACCTCTTTTGTAACAAAAACGTCTTGAATTCTGAGAAATTTTTAGCCAGTGACCGGATATTAAAAAAGGCAAAAGAAAAGTTATTCATTATACGCAATTCCCTATCCAGATTGTTGAACAAGAAATTATATGAACAAGCTCGAAAATTGCACAACCTAAGATAAAATATTAATGATTAATTACAAAGTAATGATTAATTACACAAATGAAAATAATAATAATAATAATAATAATAATAATAATAACAATAATAATATAATTAATTGTAGTGTTCACAAGGGCTCGCTATTCATTACCTTAAATATTCGTTAGATCTTCAATGCATCTGATATACTGTTTTTTATTATTATTTTTAACAAAGATTTTCCCACCTCTTGTCCAAACATCAGCCTCCCCCATCTTCTCTTTGACAGCCAACAGTAGCTCGTAGCGGATTCTAGTCAACTCCTCAACCAAAACCATTTTGGTACCCTTCAATCTTTTTTTGTTAAAAAATTCTTGATTGCGTTGTAGAACCGACGAAAACTTAATAATAACTGGCCGGGGCTTGGATGGATTTTGTGATTTGGCTCCTATGCGGTAACAATATTCCATAGAAATATCTTGCACCTGAACATTGGTTTGAATAACTTGTTGAACTTTTGTTTTCAAATCTTCGGTAGAGCTTTCAGGAAGCCCATATAATCTTAGCTGGTTTAACTTACTGCCTTGTTCCAACTCATCAACTTTCTTGGATAGATTTTCCTTCTCAATTTCCAGATCAGATATTTTATCTTTCAATGCGTTTATTTGCTCAGTGAGTTTACTGGTAACCAAATTGGCGATTGTATTTGCAAAAGAAGTCATGAACGTAGCATCGTTAAAACATTCCTGAATACAATTTTTTATTTCACTTTTTGTTTGCTTGGTATAAACCATGTTGAAAACCAGATATTATAATTCACTAATTCACGCACAAGGCACTGGATTGCTAGTTAAAAAAAAAAAAATCCTTAAATTCAGTGGAATTCAACAGTCCTCAAACCACTATCCACCTTTTAATAATTAAATTCACGTATAAACACTGAAATCAGACTTTAACTGCAGAGCCACAAGTAAACAGCCTACTCGATACGATACATGCTACGTTCTGTAGCATGTATCGTATCCATACATTCGGTAGGCCTTGTTGACAATATTACCAATGTGTGTCTTAAAATTAAGTTGAGAGTCAAAGGTCCCGCACTTCAGTAACCTGGAACAACGCTGTTCCATTAATTGAATAATTAAAATTAAATAAGTATTTTTTTCTTGTAAAGCTAATGACAACACTTATCGATGTTTAGTTCCAAGCCGCATTTGTCCGACCAACTCTAAATTGTGTTTAGACACTCTTGAAGTTTTTGGCAGTCCTTTAAATTTTTTATACTGGAGTATAGTTTTGAATCATCAGCCAACTTTGAAAGGTCATAACTTTTTTTCTATTATAGATAGAAAACTGAAACTTTCACTGAATTTTATCCCTTTCAAAGAAATACAATCCCTGAAAATTTCAGCTCATTTGCACTTATAGTTCCTGAGATAAAATCGTGTTAAGCAATTTTGGGTGATTTATCAATTTTTCTGAGTGCCTTTTTTCATAGATTTCAGCTTCAAATCTGAGAAAAATTTAGTGATGTACCCCCTTATGATTTTTTTGGAACACTGAAAGGTCATAACTTTTTTTCTATTATAGATAGAAAGCTGAAACTTTCACTGAATTTTATCCCTTTCAAAGGAATACAATCCCTGAAAATTTCAGCTCATTTGCACCTATAGTTTCTAAGATAAAATCGTGTTAAGCAATTTGGGGTGATTTATCGATTTTTCAATTTTTCTGAGTGCCTTTTCTCATAGATTTCGGCTTCAAATCTGAGAATAGTTCAATGTATGAAGTTTGGGGTATGTTGATTGACCATTAGGATACAAAATCTCGACAAAAAATTTGTTGAAATTTCATCGTTTTAATAAGAAGGTATAGTCCAACAAATACCATTTTAAAGTCACGTGATTTTTCTCTATCCTTGTTGAATACATCTCAAACAGCGGTGATAGTAAAATTGACAAAAAAATTGCTGTCTTATTATTCTTCATAATATTCTTACCTGAAATAGAATTCGTCACTGTCATCAATTAGTTTGTCAAAGTTATTTTCGAAAATAATACAACGAACAAACACAGCTAATAATTTTGACTGTATTAAGCTTTGTCCAACTCGAAAAGAAGCAAATAGAAAACGGGTACCCAGTTTAAGTTGAGAATGTACAACAGACAGCAGATACGACAAAAGTGAGTCTCGCAACAATTGCAAGTATTAAAATTGCCCTCTGATTGGTTAATACTACTTCAGAAACGCGTTTGTAAAATGCTAGTGGGAACATATCCTAAAATTCAGTAGTAATTAATCACCAGTAGCATTTTGTAGGTGATATGAACCACATAATCAATGGACATACGTTTTTTGCCACCAGTATCACATGACTTTAAAATGGTATTTGTCGGACTATACACCCTTTATGATTTTTTTGGAACACTTAAAGGTCATAACTTTTTTTCTATTATAGACAGAAAGCTGAAACTTTCATTGAATTTTATCCCTTTCAAAGGACTACAATACCTGAGATAAAATCGTGTTAAGCAATTGGGGTGATTTATCAATTTACCTATGATTTAGATTTTGGAAAACTTTGAAAAGAAGGCTTGCACAAATCCATTCCCTAAAACAATTTCCTCAACAAAGAGAACTCAATATTGTTTCTATACATAGAATTTGATGCAAACTTTATTTGGGTTATACATCAAAAATAAGTTCAATTCCAGCCCAACCTGAGCAAAATTTAATAAAAAAACAAAATCAGTGATTCGGAACAAAACAAAATAATGGAAAACGTATGTTTGGAGCAAAATCAAATAAAAGAAAATCATTCAGAACAAAACAAATATGATGGAAAAGTTATTTTTGAGATGAAAAATCCTCAAAACCATCTGAGCTAGAGTCACTTCTCCGTGCCAAACACTCCTTATCGGAACTGAAGCTGCTTGAAAAACTCTTTTCATTATTTGCCTCATCATCATCTGAGCTCGAACTAGGTCTAACAGCCAGAAAATTGTTGCTGCCTTCTTCATCTGAGCTGGAGCTCGTTTCGAAAAAATCTTTGTCCTCATCATTTTTTGTTGAAAATTTCTCTGTTAACAAGTAAAACTCTGCTGGATTTTGAAAATTGATTTCGTCATCCGGAACACGGTATTTGTATCTCTTTAGCATGTTTGCATAGAAATAAGCTTGGCAACCTTTTTGTGCTGATAACTTCCTTTCGTGAATTATCACTTCAATGTCTTCAGGATTGTTAGGCAAACACTTTTTTAGTATTTTTTTCAAATTGTGGTCATCGTCGTGAGCAAATGGGCAACCGCCTTCTTCGTTTACTGCCAATTTAATATCCTAAAAATCTAAAATAATGAATTGAATATTATGCACACAAATAAATACTTCAATATCTGTACAAGATTTGACGCAAGTTTCGAGTTTACTTCCTTCAAGGCCATAGATGTGCCTTATAGAATAAATATAATGTTTGTTATGTTTTTCCCAAGTGTGAGTACATTTTGCGTTTTCTCCGGGGTCTTTCATGTATACTGCTTCCCAAAAGCTAAGTTGCTCTTCCAAAGACAAACCAATGTCTTTTAAAAACACACTGAAATCGAACCTAAAACAAACAGTTATATAATAATAATAATAACATGACACATTAAAAGCCATCAATACCTCAAGATATAATAATAAGTAAAACAATTAATTAGTGACAATTATTATTACCTAGCTTGATGAGGAAGCCTGTTATCTCTCTGTAAAACATCATACAAATGTCGTATGCAAGGAGGAAAATCAACAAACACATTATCAATGCTACTCTGCGAAAATGAACCAGATTTTGCAAAGCTGGACTGTGGAAAAGCCTGCGATAAGGCCCCCTGAACATTAAAAAATATCATAGACATTCTAGGCTCGGCAAGAACATTTTTGCACTGCTCATTTGCCTTGATTTCCTTCAAACTGTTGATTAAGTAAGTTTTAAATAAGGCAAGTATTATTTGTTTCCATTGGAAGTTGTATATGTAAAGTTTTCTGTTGTTGATGTGGTATTTGCTAGAAGCTACAAGGTCCAAGCAAGTTTCAAAATCCACTAAAAAGTATAATTAATTAATGAATTAATAATTAAACAGTTAAATTACTTTGAATACAAAAATTGTCACAATCCTCACAAAACTCATCATTTTTGTGGTATTTAAATGCATGTTCCAAGGCACCTTGTCTTAGAAACAAAAGTGATACGTGAACGCATTCGAGACAAGTTTTCTCTTTTTCCTTGGACATGTACTTTCTGTGTCTTACCAAGAAATCTTGCGCTTCACTTCTCAGGTTTTTAACAAACTGTTTCAAGTCGATTTCAGTGTAATTACTGAGCCTTAATTCCATCAATTTTAGTTCGTTTTTGGCAAAGACTTGTCGTAGTCTTGCGTGGTCGAAGGTTTTTAGTTTGAGCAAATAGAAACTGGTGCAATCCTCATCTGAGCCTGGAGAGAGAGTTTGCAAGTTTCCAAGAACTTCTTGTATATCTTCGGAGTAAAGGTGTTGATAGCATTCGAGCCTTTCCTGGATCGTTTTTGCTATATCTAATACACACATTTCGCTACAGGGTGATTTTAAATAGAAAAAAGACATGATTTTATTAAATTAATTTGTATCTTCTGAAAAAAAATAGAGATTCAAAAATAAAATTCTAACCTAAAAACAGTTTAGCGCCAACGGTCAACAAAAATACAATCAATCGAAACACTGGAGCATCTACAGTGACGTCATTCAAGAAAGTGAGCGCCATCTAGCACCCAATACTGCATTTAAAAAGTTTAAAGAACCAAAAACCTAACCAAACTTTTAATGTTTTGTGATGCCTACTAAAATTCAAGTACTAACTTTTAAAACAAGGAAAATTCTAGCTTTAAGTTACTAGTTCAAGCTCCTAACATGTCCGTAGCACAGGTAATAATTTTATTTGAAAATCCCCTCAGAATTGACTCTTTAATTAAGTTGGCAGGTAGCGAAGCCTCAAACGACTCGAGCAAAACTTTCGTCTTCCAAAATGAGGGCCACACGTTAGGAAATGCATTGCGAGGCATCATTTCCAGCTAGTGAGTAACCCAAAAACCTAAAAACTGTATAAAAATCACCTCATTTTTAGTCCAGACGTTCAATTTTGCGGCTACACAGTGCCACATCCGGCTGAAAATAAAATGCACTTTCGTATTCAAATGTATCAAGGCAAAGCAGTAGATGCGTTAAAGCGAGGCCTAAATGATATTACCAAAGTGTGCGACGTTATCCTAGACAAGTTTGATCAAGAGTTTACTAGTTTTAATGAAAATAAAGTCGAAGTTCAATAGAGAGATTTGTCGTTTATTCTTCAGCTAATGTTACAGTGCAGTACTTTCCAAATTCACCCTGGGCAGATCGTCTTCGTGAGTTGCGGGCTTGAGGATGTATTGATTATTGAAATTAAATAATAAGGAGTATTATTTATTCATATTACTGAATTCAATAAAAGTAGTGGAAAGTATAAAAATGCTACTTTTCAAAGGCTAGTGGTTTTTTTGTTCGATCTTCTTACTAGATGGCGCCACGTGACAAACATAATATTTGGTTGGTACAGCTTGGGTATAGAGTGTATTTTCCTTGTAAAACTGTTTTCGGTTTTCCATTATTTATTGCAAAAAATCATTTAATTAATTCATTTATTTTAGTTTTAGTGCAAAAAAAATATTAAATTACTGTGATGAAAATTATTTAGCGCCACCTGTGACAAAAACTAAAAGCTAATTTGTGGGAGTCGGCCATTTTAGAACAAGCTCCCTGTAAGGGGTCTCGGTTTTCCACTCGATTTTCCGGGGAAAAAAATCGATTTTAGTGCGTGAAAACTGTGAAAATAGTAAAAATGAGAGGTAAGCTTCAATTTCGTATTGTTAGTATTCACGTAAATGCTCTAATTACTTTAAAATTCGCATTTGAAAATGTTCGGTTTTCTTGACATCATGGAGGCATTGACCATAATCGCAACAAGTTTTTCCTGTGAAAAACATGTCGATTTTCCAGGAGTTAAATCCTTTTTAGCGTGTGTGAAAAGTGTTGCAATAGTGAAAGTGCAAGTTTAGCTTCAAATTGATCCTGATTGGCTACGAGGTAAGTGATTTAGTTATTTTTAAATTTGTATTCGTTCTCTTGTCATCATGGCGGCTTATGTAGGCTTCCATTTTGCAATGTGAAAATATTTCTATTTTTTCTACAGCCGTGCGGAAAAATCTATTTTTCGCACCATATTCTCGCGGAAAATTAGTTTTGTATTGCGTATTGATACTTCCATGACTCAAAATGCGTGCAGAAAAAACTCTTATGAGTCAAAAACAAAAAAGGAACCTGTAAACAGTGGCGTAACTTGTAATCCGCGGCCCCCCCGCAAGGATTTTCCAGTGGCCCATCTCTTATGTATATTTTTTTTCTTTATACAGGGTGTCCGTTTTAAGTGATACCACTATTGCTACCTCCGAAGCGATAAGAGGGACAAGGTCGGTCAAATTAGATAAAAGTGGTAGATTTTAGTATCCATTAAAGTGCACAGGGTTGCCAAGTTTTTCTTCGTTTCATTCAAAATCTATCAACTTTAGAAAAAAGTTTATGAGGTTCATAGATCAGGTTTAAGCATTTTCTTTTAGTTTAGCAATCACCATCAGAACAAATTTCATTGGTTGAAAACAATCAGAAAATTATAGTTTCAACCAATGAAATTCTCTCTGACTAGTTTTGTGATTTCTGCAGAAACAGACCTAATATTCTAGTACGTACATTATCTTAGCTTATATCCGACTCTCAATTATTTGATGAAAAATGACAAATTACCTATATAAAAGTCAGCTAAATATGAAATAATTCCCCAGGGCGTGGTTATGACCGTTATGACTGACTATTTTAATAACCTACTTGGTTATTATTTTTTTTCCAGGTAAATGCTAGTCCTTGATTTCTTTTAGATTCATTTAGGATTAGGAGTTAGACATACTTTTTCAATGGTTGATGTATGTATTATGAGGTTATTAGGTTAGGTTTAAGTTAAGTATTTTCTTTCAGTTTAGTAATATTCTTGTCGCCAGTTTAGTACTTTCTTACACTGAAAAAAAAATCGTTCATAATATTGAAGAATGGCGGTTGTTATTTTTTTGTCATTAATTAATGAAATATTTCATCAAGCCAATTAATCAGTGTTCATAGCCGAATTACTTCGTTCCTTGATGTAACGAATTTATGTTCATTATTATCATAAAACCCGTGAATTTTTATTTTCCATTGTTCGAACGAACATTTTCATCAGTATAAGGAACTTTCTTTGAAGACCAGTGATTCTATTCCTTGATTTTATGAATAATCGTTCATAAACCACGTTCATTGTACAGGGTGCTGCAATTTGGAGTGTTTCAACAGGAAAAACATACTTGCAGACCAAATAGAAGAAAATTGACTTAGACGTCATGGGATCGATTTTTGAGAAACGTCAATTGTCAAAAACCGTATCACGATATCTTTAATGGTATCATTGATACAGGGCGATTTTCGATTTTTCACTATTATGAAAACTGGCTATAAAGTTTTTTATTTATCCATTTTTTTTATTCCTGTAAAAACATTATGGAGACACTTTTTTGAGCACAATCCAGTGGCGGACTCAGTTTTTTTTTATATCGTTCCGATTTCGAGACACCGACCAAATTCCGATATTTTCAAATGAAACACCCTATATATTAATAGCTCATTGGATAACTCTGTTTTTGCTGATTTCAATGATATAAAGTTCGATAGGTTTATCTATAACAGTTTTCGAGAAAAAAAAATATATCTGTTTTTGTCGTAAGGACCAATGTGTTAGAAAAGGATTTTATATGTGTAAGGAAAAAGAGGAAGGGATCTTTCTAACACATTGTTTCTTATGACTGAAACATATAAATTTTTTTTCTCGAAAACTGTTAGAGATAAACCTATCATTGAAATCAGTAAAAACAGAGCTATACAATGAGCTATTAATATACAGGGTGTATATTTTAAGTGATACCACTATTGCTACATACGAAACGGTAAGAGCTACAGGGTGGGTTAAATTAGAAAACAGTTTCCTTTTTTTATGCACATTTATGACTCGTTTACAGTGTTGCCAAATTCATTTCAGTTTATGAAATACAGGGTGATTTCTAAGAAACGCCCAAAAATATTTCATCAATTATTTCGGAAACTATTGATTTTCGAGACACAATTTAAATTTGAAACTCTTATAATTTTTTCCGCTCTACAACATGGCATCTTCAAATTTCAAATCCGACGTTTCGTGATTGAGCTACTATCATCAACTTCATTTTTTTAAATATGGACCTGGATTTTTTATGTCATTTTTAGGAAGCGCCTTTCATTCCCTTTCCAAAAATGATATAAAAAATCCAGGTCCGTATTTAAAAAAATAAAGTTAATGATGGTAGCTTGATGAAGAAACGTCGGATTTAAAATTTGAAGATGCCATGTTGTAGAGCGAAAAAAATTATAAAACTTTCAAATTTAAATTGTGTCTCGAATATCAATAGTTTTTGAAATAATTGATGAAATAATTTTAGGCGTTTTTCATAAAAAACCCTGTATTTCATATACTAAAAGGAATTTGGCAACACTGTGAACAAGTCTTGAATGAGCATCAAAAAAGGCAATTTTTTTAAAATTTAATCGATCTTGTAGCTCTTACCGTTTCGGATATAGCAATAGTGGTATCACTTAAAATATACACCCTGTATAGGGTGCTTCATTTGAAAATATCAGAATATGGTCGATATCTCGGAATCGGAGCGATATAGAAAAAAACCGAGACTGCCATTGGATTGTGTTCAAAAAAGTGTCTCCATAATGTTTTTACAGACATAAAAAAAATTGACAACTAAAAAACTTATAGCCATTTTTCATAATAGGGGAAAATCGAAAATCGCCCTGTATTAATGGTACCATTGAAGATATCGCGATACGGTTTTTGACAATCGACGTTTCTCGAAAATCGATCCCATGACATCTAAGTCAATTTTCCTCTATCTGGTCGGGAAGTGTGTTTTTCCTGTTAAAACACTCTAAATTGCAGCACCCTGTACATACTGATGATTATTTCTTATCCCAAAAAGTTTGTTCATCATGCTTATGGAACTTTCTTCATTGTGTCAATAAAGTTATATATGCATCGAATCAATGACCAAGAGTTCATTAATTAATGAATATGTTTCATCAGCTTGACGTATGTGTTGTTAGTGATTTATTAATAAACGTTTATAACTAACAAACTTTACCCATTAATTTAATGAATTTTATAGTTTTGATATAGACCTATTCATCATGCAACGTAAAGAATCCATTAAACACACCCGCACTCCATATCATCGACAGTATATCGCAATAAATTATCCAGAAATTATATTTCCTACAAGCGTGCGGAAAACGCTTTTTCACGCACTGATTTGCGTGCGGAAAGTAGCACTTTTCCGCAATGTGTGCGTGAAATTTTTTTTACCGCGCGGCGTGCGCGAAAAAAGTTTTTCTCACACGCTGTGCCCGAGAAAAGTTTTTCACGCACTGATTTTTTTCTTTTTTTTTTTTAAATTTTTCTCTTCATGTCATGCTTCTCAGACATTTTAGAACTTTTTGAAATTCCTCCACCGTTTTTTCTCTTCAAAAAAGCTATTAGGTTTTTGTACTGACCTCGGTACTGAACAATATCGGCCTTTTAATAGAAATAATTGTTGATGTGTTGTTAAAATCATTGCGTTACTAAACTTAAATTTAAAAATCACATTTTTGACCATTTCTCTTATCAGTAGAGCCAAAAACAAACAAAAAAACAATACATATGTCAATTTCCGCACGTTCGTAGGAAAAATGTTGTACCTAACACGAGCGTAAAGTATCTTTTCCGCACTTACGGCTTGCACGAACTTCGCTGGAGCGTCGTTCGTGCAAACGCCGTTGCGTGCGGAAAAGTATAACTTTCCGCACTTGTTAGGTAAATAACTATTTTGCGCTGGTGCTTAATTCAACTTTTTTTGGAAGAAATTCGAAATACAGGTATTCATTGAGTGGAATAACTTCCTTATTTATAGTGTACAGAAAACATTGCAGAACGTGGGACACTACCCGGAAGCCATCTGTTAGCGGAGGCAACCGACGCTGAAATCCAAGATTGCTGAGATCAAACTTCGTGTCTACAATACAGATGTAAAACCAACACTTACATACATAACTGCGAAACATGGACCACCTACAGAAAGCACATAAAAAGCCTAGAAAAAGACCACCAGCGATGCCTAAGAAGGATCATACGGATTAAATGGCCAGACCGACGAATAGTCTACGCGGCAGACCATCAAAATGGGGTGAAATGTAGCAAATTGGGTTAAAAGCCTGAAATTTGGCAGAGTTGTTTTTTACACTATTTTAAGGGATTTGACCCGCAGCACCTAAAATTTCAACCCTGGGGAGGGTGGTTTAACCCCTTTTTTATTTTTAAAGGGCTAAAATTATTAAAAATGTCTATGTCATCATATTATTTCAATATTGGAGTCATTTTAGACTAATTCGAATGTGAGGAATTCAAAAAAAAAATCTCATTCTCAGTACCCAACGGTATAGGGTTCTAACACCAATATTGGAATAATATAATAGACATTTTCAATAATTTCAACCCCTTCGAAACTTTTCGACACTTATGTCAAATATGACAGCAATAGAGCCCTACCGTTGGGTCCTACGAAGATGAGATTTTTTTTTGAATTCCTCATATTCGAATTAGTTTAAAATGATACCAATATTGAAATAATATGATGACATAAATATTTTTAACCCTTTAAAAATGAAATAGGAGTTAAACCACCCTCCTAAGGGGTGAAATTTTAGGTGCTGCGGGTCAAATCTCTTGAAATAGTCTAAAAAACAACTGTACCAAGTTTCATGCTTTTAACCCAATTTGCTACGTTTTTTCGCGAACCACACGGACTAGAACGAACATTAGTGTTTTAGAAGAGGCCAACCCAACTAACCTGGAAGCCCTTATCATCAAGCACTAACTTCGCTTGACAGGTCACTTACGCTGAAATCGTTCAGGACGTGCCCAGAGTCTTTGTCTTTGCCAGAGTGCGCCCAAATTACCCTACTCTGAGTTTTTACCGGGTTTGACGTTGAAATTTAGCGCAACACCCCAATTACGTTCAGAAAAGGCGCACCCAGAGTGCACTCCAAGTGATGACGTCAGAACACTCTGAGAAACAACTACTCTACCTTCACACTCCATTTCTAAACGCACATCTGTGTTGTTTAAAATTATATCATATTATACTTGAATTATCTGTTATTGTTTATCACCGCATCGGGCAACACTGGAGCATCTACGGTGACGTCATTCGAATATTGATAATACTACAAGATTCCTAAAGTTAACCTTTCAGCCTTGTATTTACCTCTACTATTCTTGAATTATCATTTCTCTATTTCTCAATTTTTAGTTTAGATTAGGAATAAAAAGAACATGAATTTTCTTCTTTTGAGAAAAAAATTGATAAGTAGGTATAGAACTTCTTATACTTACCAATTTTTTCTCAATTGTTTTCAATTTTCTTTTTATTTCTTAATTTTTTTGTTTCAATTTTTGTTTATTCTTGGCTTTTGAATTTTTGTTTAAGGAGGTAAAACTAATAATTGCGGTTTATCGAAAAAGGGGATTTTGTGAAAATATGGACGTTTCCACCCTAGTCTCGGGTACAAAATGTTACTTGAAGTTATAGGCAGTACCAATATAGGTACACCGTTTAAGGAACCTCACATGACTTTGAGAGTGGTTTAAAGGGGTAAAACTAATAATTGCGATTCAACGAAAAATAGGGTTTTTGTGAAAATATGAACATTTCCACCCTCGTCTGGGATACAAATGGTACTAGAAGTTATAGGCAGTACCAAGATACACCGTTTAGTGTATGTACCTAAAAAGACTCGCAAATCACTCTGAGGGTGGTTTAAGTTAAGGGGTTAAAACTAATAATTGCGATTTATCGAAAAAAAATATGTTTTTGAAAAACGTGAAAGTGGCCCATTGGCTCAAATTTTCCATAAATATATGCCTGATCCATTGTTTACAATATTTTTTTTTTACCAATATTTTGCGTTTTTCATAATTGAAAAATAATTTACAGGGTGTCCACTTAGTGCGATATCGAAGATATCTTTTTATAGGTTGAAGAAAAAAAAATACAAAGTTGTTTGATACCTACTCTAGTTTTAGGGGCATAAGTCAAAAATATTTTTGAATATACAGGGTGCTCGATAAATGGAGTATGAGACAGAATTTAGTTATTTTAAATGGAACACCCTATAATATTTTATTACATTAATGGATCGTCCTTAAAATCCTACATACTTAACTTAAGTTAGGTACTAAACCCTTATACTTCCAAATGCTAAAGAAAACATCTCAAATATTCTCAAAATTACGACGCACTAAATTTGATTTTTTATGACACAAATTACAAAATTTCAAATTATTATTGGCTTATTATAGGCAGTGTTGTCAAGTCTCCTCATCTCGGGCATCAAAATCTAACTTGTTGCTTTTCAATATGCGTATGCAACTCTTCCAGTTCGCTTTTCAATCTGTCAAATATACCCGTCAAACTAAAACAGAAAAAAAAAATTGGCAATACTGTTTTTTATACACTGTTGCGGTGTTTACTTTTTCCTATCCGCATCCGGTTCTGGAACGGTTTCAGTGCAAGTTTCGCGCGTTTTAATTTCATGGCCTACTTGGATTCCAATAGATTTTTTATTCTGGAAAATAATTGAAACAATTTAATTATTATTGGGTAAATAAATATATTTTGCCTAATAAAAATTGACCACCGGATTTAAGTCCGTGTGAGGAAACCGTTTAGCCTCAAAATCTAGATAATTATTATTACAAGGCGACTTAAATTTTTATTGCGATAATCGATGGCGATTTTGTAATGACAAATTGCCGCTATAAATAATTATGATAATTGGTAAGTAGTTTAACTTGAATACTACTGAATTGTTCTAAATATTAATTTGTAAAATTTAATCAATGTCATTTACAAGGAAATTGAGTTTTCTATAAAAAATTAATTTAACAAAATTTGATCGATTTTATATCGATTTTAATATTTTCAATAATAATATGAAAGTTCCTATCGAATTCCCAAAAAAACGTCCCCTAACTTTTTTTTTTCTAACCGAAAAAAGTCTGTCTATTTTGCATAATAAATTAAAACCGCACAAAATCGAATTGGCCATGGCAAACGTACAAAGCGTGTCGGCTTTTATAAATATAATGTCGAAAATCGAGAAAAAAATGGATTTGTTATCCGTAATCTGGTGCGAAACGATCGAGACAGTGATGACGTGATGCTGAAAATGCATCTTTTATCGATAGCTTTTAGTGTTTTGGTGATCGGTTCTAGTGCGCAAAATTCTAGTGACATTATAAGTGATACAAATGACCAGAATCGTGATAAAAGGACTATTGGAGCTATCTTGGGAGGAGTTGCTGACTTATTTGGGTAATTGCTGGACTAGTTGTAATAAAAAGTGTTTTTAAAATTATTAATTTTTTTAGATACGATCTCCAACGTCGACCGTCTCCACTTGATGCCGGTCCAGTTTTAGCTAGGCAGATGGCGCCACCACCTGCTGCACCAGCGCCACCTGCTGCAGCAGCACCACCTGCAGCCGCAGCTGGGGGTCTGCCTAACTTACCAGCTACTTTAACCGACGGAGTGAGGCGAGCTTTTCAATTGGGTGTCAACTGGAGTAATCAGAGACAACAGTTGGGTGGTGCTGCTCCTGCACCAGCTCCAGCTCCACCTCCAGCTGCACCAGCGCCACCTCCACCAGCGCCACCTGCACCAGCACCAGCTCCACCTGCACCACAAGGTTTTCGACAAGCGTACACTGTCGGTTTCAATTGGCAAAACTTGAGACAACAATTAGGTAATTATTATTAATGTGATTTTTATGAAAATAAGTTTTTTTTTTTTAAAAGGAGGTGCGCCACCACCAGCAGCTCCACCAGCAGCAGGTGCAGCTGTAGCACCGGCCGCTCCACCGGCTCCACCTCCGCCACAAGGCTTCAGACAATCCTATCTAGTGGGCCTGGATTTTTCTAACCAACGACAACAGCTAGGTAGGTGAATTTGGCAACGTTCACTTATATGCGAGATTGCCAAAATTATATCGCTACGATGCCAAATGTATTTAAGTCAATTTATTGTGTAAAAATGTAAGTAGGTACATAAATCAATTTAAAAAAAAAGTTTGTTTTATTTTCAAACTACTGACATAAACAATGACTTACATTTTTACGCAATTTTTGACTCTTGACACTTTGACATTATTTTTCATTTTATCAAGGTGGACCACCTCCACCTGCACCTCCGCCTCCGGCAGCTGCTGCCGCTCCACCTCCACCCGTGCCACCTGCTGGCATAGCCAATTTGCGACAAGTACCGACTTTGGTCGAGCGTATTTATTTCGACGAAAACCATCCGAAGACTATCGATTTGACAACAAGGACTTTGACAAATGACAACAATGACGTTTCGCCTCTTAAATTAGACATACCAATGTCAAACGAAGAAGAAGAAGAAGCAGATAATGAAGATAGAGTGATCAAGCAAATGCCAAGAGGTTTTGAAAAGCCTTCAAAAGATGATGGTGATAATGCAGAAACCTACATTTTAGATGAGGACTACTCCTACGAAAATAAGTAAGTATAATTGCCTGCTATTATTCAAATTGTATAATAATGATAGTGCGGCGCGGTTACGGTCTAACGGAGATTCGGTAACGACCCAGAAGAAACCGAGAGTGCGACCGAGCGTGTAAAATTCGTATCTTTCTCTCTATGCCGTTGCCGTAATTCAATCTTTTGCGAGAGAAAAATTACCAAATGCCGACCGAACGGTTATTTAATCTGTATTTGTACTTACAAGGCGAGGAAATCAGAGTTTGAAATCTACTTGGAAATTGTTTAAAGAATTACGAATTTTTATAAGGCATTTGTAAACAAATTTTTGATTTGATTTGGAAAAGGCTGTTTTTCAAATCTGTCAACTAAATATGTATGTACAGGGTGGCCCGTTTATTTATCCTATCTCGGTATATGGAAATCTAATAGTTATTTATGTATCAAGGGAATTATGAGGGTGTTAATATCCCAGGGCAAAGTTTGTGTCCCTCGGGCCTTCGGCCCGAGGGACACCAATTGCCCGTGGGTATTAACACTATTGATAATTCCCGTGGTACATAGATAATTTTATTTCCTACTGAACTATTAAAATCATATAATACCTTGGTTACGATAATCATAAACAGGGTCTTAACTCCCGCGCGGGAGTTAATAAGGGTTTCATAACTCCCGCGCGGAAGTTCAAGATATCATAACTCCCAAAGGAGTTAAGGATTTCTATAACTCCCGCTTTTACCTTGATTAGGTAAAACTTTGATAAAAATAAAAATTTTGGTTTATGGTTTATTCCTTTATAAAAATAGACAGAATACAGTAAATTCAGTATTATATGAAATTATCTATGTATATCCTGTTCACAATCCGATGTCCACAGGTACAGGTAAATTTATCACCTTTCCCTATCAAATAGCATTGAAAGGTGATTTTTTTACCTGTACCTGTGGACATTGGATTGTGAACGGATAATACCACGGGAATTATCAGGTGGTAATACCCACGGGCAATTGGTGTCCCTCGGGCCAGAGGCCCTCGGGACACAAACGTTGCCCTGGGATATTAACACCCTCATAATTCCCTCGATACATAATAGCTATTTATGTACCAAGGGGATTATGTACAGGGTGGCCCAAATTCGAGCCTCATCATTGGGATCTCGGTAACCGTAAGAGATACGGGGTTGGTTAAATTATGGCAAAGTTGCACAATTTTATGACCAATAGAATGCCGTTTTGAAACTAGAAAAATTCCGAATACTTCCGGAGATCTTTGGAAAAAACCGAAATTTTGTAAAATCGTTTTTATTTTTTCCCGGGCTTATTTGAAAAGCAATTTTAAAATAAATGTCACTTCATCATTATCACTTTTTCCCCTTTAGAATATGGTGCTACTAAATTTAAAATTCGACGTTTCGTCTTCAGGCGGCCATCTTCAACTTACGTTTTTTAACCCGGTAAAAAAAGCAGGTCCGTATTTAAAAAAAATAAATTGATAATGATTCCGGAGGAACGAAACGTTGGATTTCAAATTTAATACTGCCATTTTGTAGAGAAGAAAAAGTGACAACAGGAATGTGAAATTAGTTTTTCAAAATCTTTTTAAATGGAATCAGGAAAAAATTTAACAAAAACGAGAAAATCATGTTTGTTCCATATAGTTTTCATTTTTTCCTGATTTTATTTAAAAAGATTGTGAAAAACTAATTTTACATTCCCATTGTCACTTTTTCTTCTCTACAAGATGGCGGTATTAAATTTAAAATCCAACGTTTCGTTCCTCTGAAATCATCATCAATTTATTTATTTTTTAATACGGACCTGCTTTTTTCACTGTGTTATTGAAAAATTATGAACGGTATCGGTTTTAGGAAACCCAAAGATGACAAAATCGCAAATAAAAAATCCAGGTCCATATTTAAAAAAAGGAAGTTGAGGATGACCGCCTGAAGACGAAACGTCGAATTTCAAATTTAGTAGCACCATCTTCTAAAGGGGAAAAAGTGACAATGATGAAGTGACATTTATTTTAAAATTTCTCTTCAAATAAGCCCAGGAAAAAATAAAAACGATTTTACTAAATTTCGGTTTTTTCCGAATATCTCCGGAAGTATTCGGAATCTTTCTATTTTCAAAACGGCACTCTATTGCTCATAAAATTGTGCAACTTTGCCATAATTTAACCAACCCCGTATCTCTTACGGTTACCGAGATCCCAATGATGAGGCTCGAATTTGGGCCACCCTGTACATTATAATGCCCGAAAGCGAAACTAGCCCGAGGGATATATTTTGCCTGAAGGGCGAGACATGAAATCTCAACAACTGAGGTAGCTTAGTGGAGCGAGGGGGTGAAGTATATGGCAAAAACAGGTGTAACGTTAAATGACCATTGGCGTTCTGATGTAGGGTGCCATCAGCTAAAATTCCTTCTTAGTATCAAATTAAAATCGACGGACTTTACCTTATGATTTAGATTTTGAAAAATGTTTAATTTTGATAACTTTTTTTCTATTACATGTAAATAGAAGTCTAAGCATACATCGTAATTTTTGATAATTTTTTTCTTAGATTAATGGATTCCCCCAATAAACGTGCCCTTGGCAAACCAAAGTTCACCATGACGGAGAAACTCATTTCCACGTCAAACGTCAAATCGAGACACAGATCGGTAAGAAGTTTACCCACACCCCCGGCAGATGTCGCTAGAGCCATCCATAACAAAATAATAGACTACTATAGTCGAAAGTTTCTGAACGACGCTGTAAGGGCGCACGCGAATCTGCCCAGTCATCTCGTAAAAAAACCTTATTTTGTTAAACAGGAGGTCAACATACCGGAAGTCCACAGCCGAGTCTTGCACAACATCCAGAAACAATTCGAGAAAAATGCCAAAGCAAATAAAGCGGCCGCCGTATCTAATGATCATCCTAGGCTAGAAGGCCATGGAATTTATAATAATTTTGACAAGTTGACTAATGATAATCAAAGAATTTTGGAAGAAAATGAACAAGAAGAACCAGAAAATGTCGATACAGAAGAACAAGATGATATTTCTAACGAAAAAGAAGAAGAAAAGGGTACTATTCATCCAGAAAATGTTGACAAAGAAGAAGACGATGATGAAAAAATTAAAGTAGGCAATGAAAGTGTAGTTGGTCAAGAGGATGAAACAATAATTGAAGAAGAAGCAGAAATTGAAAATGTAAATGATAAGGAACCAATTGAAGAAAACATTGAACCTGCTGAAGAAGAAGATGAAAACACTGAACCTGTTGAAGAAAAAGAAAATTTTGAAAGTAAAAAATTAAACAATTTAATTATTGAAGCACAACGCGCCTCAGAAGCTGTCAATAAAGAAGAAGAAGAAGAAGACAAAAATGAAGAAAACGATGAAAACGAAACACCAAATAAATTAATTCAAAAACAGCTCGACACTGTAGAAAACAAAGACATTGAAAAGGAAGATCCTACAAATGAAACGCCGAAGGCAATCGAAGTTGAAAATCAAGAACCCACTGAAAAAGAGACAGACGAAGATGAGGAAAATGATGAAAGTGAAGAAGATATAAAAAATGAAAATGTAAAAAATAATGAAAATGACACGCCAAACAATAGACAATTAGACAAAATCGAAAACACAAAAAATGCTGAAAAAACTGTTGAACACACCAAAGATGCTAATACTTGTGAAGAAGAAGAAGCACAAGAAGAAGAAGATGGTGAAGCAGAAGAAGAAGATGAAAGTGAAGTAGAAGACAAAGATGAAGATGAAGTAGAAGACAAAAAACATCTAGAAAAACAGATCCCTAATGTGCAAGAAGCAAACGAAAAGGCCTTAAAACAGTACAAAGACGAACACTTTGAATTAGACGATATCAACGGTTTATCTGTACCAATAGGAGTCAAGGACACCAATCATTATAAGCAAATCCTCGAAAACTTCGACAAGCCTTTCGACGATCATTTCGAATTTTTCAAGAACAATCGTATCGAATTCGAATCACCATATAACCAAAAAGATGATGATGAAGCAATTGATAATAAAAGAGTCATTAATGAGGATGATGAGAAATTTAGTAAAGATACTGAAAAATCCAACGAAAAAGGAGCTAGAGAAACTAGTGAAAAATCCAAAGAGAAGCAAGTTGAGGATGATGGTGAAGACGAAACAGTTGAAACTGATGAAGAAACTATTGAAGCTGATGACGAAGAAACGAAAAATGAAGAACGCAAAAAAGTTCCCCTTCACTATCCGCACGAAGAAAAACAACAGCAAATCTACAAAGATTTTCGCCATCAAAAATTGGCCACCCAAGACTCGAATCGGCTCGAAACTATTGCACATTTACCCGGGCAATTACATTCGGGCGGTTTCGGCGATGGTAAACCCTTAAAATTGCAACCGATACCTTTCGATTTTGATTATGACGTCAGTCAAACACAAACAAAACCGATAATTGACAGAGGAAATTCTAAACATTTGACAAGGCCTACTACAATTATTGACAGAGTAGATTCTAGAAGTTTAGAGCAATTGTTGAACATTAATCCAGTTAACAGAGTGAAACGTGAAACAATGAAATTGATGCCTAATACTAGGAAATATAAACGTCAAACGATAAAGTGGACGTATAAACCGGACAGGTACGATCCAAGTATGGCGGATTTTGAAATGCCAGAGCCTACTAAGTATGAGCCGGTTAAAATTGAAAAAATTAGAGAAGAGCCGTTAGGTCCGAGAGCGCTTATAACTGAGAGCGAAAGCGGCCGTAAGAAAACCTTCGTCAAAGTCAACAGGAAAACAATGAAAACATTCTAGTGACGTCATAATAGCCCTATTTATGTGCCTGTTTGATATTTAAATCACCTTGTAGGTAGAGGTTGATTGCTACGATATTTATTATTGCCAAAGCGTGTAATTTTGATTTTTTTTCTGTCCTAGTTGTGTAATATGAAACGAAATTATACAGCACTGACTAATTTATTATATGTTTCTTGTTGTTTTAAAATAAAAAAATATTGTTGTACGAGAGTTTTTTTTATTTCGAAAGGGGGTGAAATGCAATATGCAAATTCCATTTTTAACGAATCAATTTCCCTTTCAAATAAAATCAATTATTGCCCGGAGTCACGTAGCCAAAATGAAATGAATTAGGCAATATAGGGCTGGTGGTGAATTAATAAGAGCTTTCACGGGCGAATTGATGATTTATTTTTAGGCTCATTGATAATCCAGACTCGTCTTTCTTGAGGAAATGATCCGTATAAATAAAAATAAAAGAAAGTTCCGGACTTTATTATCGTATTGGCTGCAATGCTGTGATTTTGTTTGAGTGTTTGTTGATTTTTTAAAAAAATGGATTTCTTGAAACTGGTAAGCGATTATAACGAAATGTTAATCAATTTTAATATAACTCTACAGGGTGTTAACTAATCCATAGAAACAGTATTGCTGTCTCAGAAGTTTAACCTACGGCGTTTCTTTTATGAGAAACCATCATTATCTTAATTTTTTTTAATACGGCGCCATTTTGTGAAGGTACCTACCTGTACAGAGTGGTTGATTTTCGATAGTTTGATAGGGTACAGCCAAAATGGCAGAAGATACTGAGAAACTGATATAAGTTTCCCGTCCTCTTTTTTAGTGTGTCATTTGATGGTGTAGTCAGATCTTGGTCGACAATATTGGTTTGCGAGGTACAGGGTGTTTTTCAAAATCAGCTGTTTTTTATAATCCTCTATAACTTCTTACCCGACGGAGATATAGAAAAAGTGCAAAAAGGAAAAATACTTCTGAGATATTTGAAAAAACAAAGATTTTTCAAATGAAACACCCTGTATCTTATTGGTTCAGTAGTTTGAGAAAAAAATTGCGAGTTCGACGATATATAACACATGATATTTTGTTTTGGCCTAAATGGCGAAAACAACAAAAAACCATAGATTTACCTACTAACGTGACAAGATAGGTAACGCCCTATCTAAAAGCATTGGAGCAAAGTGGCACAAACATCTGTTAAGAATCTCTACGTATTCCCAAGTAATACGTAGGGGTATTTTATTAGAAGCAAAGGTTCCCATAGGCGTACCCATGAAAAAGTCATGTTTTGAAATATATTATAATTCCAAAAAAAAGTAGTTTTAAAAATGATAAATTTGAGCACTTAAACTGAAAGCAAACTGGACTGTTTAAAAAAAAAAATACATGAAATGGGAGCAAAACAATATTTGATTAGATTTTTCTTTTTTTTTGTGGATTTGTATCAAAAAAGAGTAGCTTTTTAATACATTCAAACAACAATTCCAAAAAAAAAACAATGTTTATTCAGAATATTAATAATAATATGTAATAATATTACAAGAGCTGAGGTATATACCTACTGATAAAAAAAATATACTTGAAGCAAACTGATCAATAATGCAAATACTGAAAATAAGTACCTATAATGCATTGGCCTTTCAAGTGAATAATAAATACTTAGCTATTCTCTGATCATATTACACTAAGACCGTTTCTAAAACCAAACTGATTTAAGGAAAATAGGTACCTACTTACATTTAAAATAAATAAATAGGTTGTCTTATTCATTTATTACAAAAAGTATCAACAGCAAAACTTAAGTATATCTATAAATAATATTAAAATAGCTACACACAAGTCTAACTAAAATTAAAACTAACTTCTTCACTAATACAAATAAAGGGTGATCCAATTAGTGCTTTAGTATTTTGAAATGAAATAGAACACAGATATTGCTGCGTTGCCAAAATGTTTTTATTTCATTTGAAAGACTAACTAATTACATTTATGTTTTTAAAATAAAATCGGTGAAATGACCTCTACGACTTTCTTCACAATAGTGAATTCGATCAGTCCAATTTATCATAAGGTTTTCATATATTTGGGCCGGTATTCCCGGAATAACCGCCATCGTTTTGTTGGCGGTATGGCACGTAGCGCCATTCTGATGGAACCAAAATTCATCCAGTTAGTTTTTGATAATTATTGGGAAGAAATAATCGTTGCTGAAAACGACGTCTAGAGACAAATTTGGATTATCTCGAACACTTGAACTTACAGGATTAACATTTTCTGCATTTCTCACATTTCGTACACGATTTGTTCTTGGGTTATCTAGCAACCTAAACTCATTTTCAAATTTCCTCACAACATTACAATTTTGTTTATTTACTGGATTGATCATAAAGTACTTAATCCGCGCCAAGTTGCCTTCATATAGAGAGCTTTGGTTTTGATAATAAATTTTAATAATTTCGCAATGTTGCTGTGGTGTTAAATGTTTCAATCCATTTTGTAATAAACCAATCTAAAAAACTACCAAATAACCTTTTTTTTACATGTACAGTGTTGCCTATATTTCACTTTAAAATCCTAAAGCACTAATTGGATCACCCACATTTTTAATAAATATGCACTACAGAATGTAGAATTAAAAATAGGGATGAATTTGAGCTATATTTAATTTTTGAAGATAAATTTTTACTGATTTTGGTATAGAATTAAGTGAGTTAACATGCTTTTGACTCTATCTTTCACAAGATCTGATTTTTTTCGTGTTTCATGATGAAACCGTATAGTAAAATAATGTTTCAAAATTAATTTGACCAAAGACAGCTGGTGGTTGTCTAAAAACTCGTCATCAAAAATGTGATCACCAAATTCGTGGAAAATTTTTTGAAGTAAAACGTTAATGGTTTTATTAACCATTACAGTCATTATATGTCTGGAATAAGAGGCTAATAAAACACTTTGATTTTGCCTCAATACCTTCTCACCCCAAGTACATATTTCACATATAAATTTTGATGCTTTGAATAAATTTCCAAAAGTTTTTCTTTTTTGTAACAAAGACAATGATTCATTTGTCTCTAATAGACGAATGCATTTCGCGCATGTAATGCATTTTTTTAAGCATTTAACGACGAATCCTGCAATATACACAATAACATCATTAATAAATTATGATAACTGCCATCCTGACAAAGAAAAGTAGTCGAGATCATCAAGTTGGTTGCAGAGTTTTTGATATTCATCACATCTTTCAAGATCCTCTTTCTGGTCATTTAGAGTAATTTTTCTGCTACTAACATTCAATATCAATGTTTCATCCAAGTTAATAGCATTTGCTGTATCTGCCCCTCTAACCTCTCTAGCAATTAAAAGTTTTTTATAGGCAGAAGTAAACTGCCGACATGTCGGATTATTATTGAAGCCATGTAAACTTCTTACAGAACTGAACAGTGTCTTTAAATGGTCCCGACTGAATTTATATCCTAATAAAAATTTCAAATTTCCTCCAATAACATACTTTTGATAAATATTATAAAAACTTTCCATACCTACCAGAAAACCCAGAAAACCAGTTTTTCTATTACTTTGGAGTATAGGTTTATTTTTTAGATATAAATTTAATATATAATTTTTTAATTCAGAAAATTTATTAAAAAACATGTCCGCAGTTTCTAGGCACAATGCTTTTTTAAATATATATTTCGCGAATTTTGATCTAGAGTTTAGAATATCAAAAACATCGTTGAAAACCGTGCAGTTTCTGCAGCTTCTTCAAATTTATCAATTTCCAAGTCTTTTTCTAAAAAAGTTAGAGCATCAGATACGCTTCTGCTAAACACTTGAGTAGCTGTTTTAACCTCAGACTGTTTTAACCCTCGTTTTTTCTTTTGTAAAATTGATATGCTTATTCCGGAGTTTTGCTGCTGCTGACAAACCTTCTTCATTTTGAAAATTAACTAATTTAACAAGATATTCCCAGTTTACTATTTGCCCCTCATTTGTTCAATTCTCCCAAACAATTTCGTATCAATTTTATCATATGACAAATGTCACTTTTTCATTGGTAATAGGGTGAATAAAATGAGTGGTTAGGTTATCAAAATCAGTTAAACATGCCCCCAACTGCTTAGCCATATTTATATTTGCGGCAGCACCATCAAAAGTAATTGATGTTATTGTTATACCTGAAGGATGTAAAAATTCCAGACACATATTAACTAAATTTGCTCTTTCAGTACCAGACAGGCCATCAATAAAAAAATATCCAACTAGAATTTTCCAATTGCCATTAACACTAGTTACTAAAAACACAATGGCTTCTTTAGCCTCTGGAAGGGTATCTGCCGCGACATTTGCTCCAATATCCACATATCCCACAAATTTTTCCCCTGTCCATTCGATTTTTTTTCGGATTGACATTTCATCAATCACTAGGTTGCCCTTTCTTACCACTTTCCTTTACTTTGAGGATCAGTGCATTTAAAGCCTCTTGGGTAAATCCAGGCTTACCATCAATTTTTATTTTTTTGGAACCATTTTGACACAGTTGATGAATGGGGTAAAGACTTGTTAAACTTTTCACGTACATAGTTATAAGTTCGTGGCGAGTAAAAGTGCAAGGTCAAAGCAAATGCTCGCAACCTTTGAGAATATTTTTGATTCTTTGAACCTTTCAAAATATTTTTTACAATTTCTGATGCTGGGCCGGGCAAAATATTATTTATTGAAATTATTTATTGCTGAATCTGTTTATACATTCACCTCAATAGCTTCTTGAGCATTATCTGATATCAAGTTTTTTCGTTTCAGAAAACTTAAGTGCGAATTCAAATTTGTGACTCTGTTCCTTATTCTTGCATTTTGCCTTTTCAAGTTAATTACCTTTTTCCGATATTCTTGCATCTTAGTTTTGGCCAAATTAAATGCTCTTTTTGCTGTAGTTGGTGATGAAAAATCACCACTAGAAATATCTCCAATATAACGTCTGTGAGGTTTTCGAGACATTCTTATTCTAAAATTAATTATAATAATTAGAATTTTAGAGAAGAATGAAATATTATATAAAAAATATACCGCTTCGCAAACTGTGCTGATGATGATCCAAAATTAGAGCCACTTTCTGATGTAGACTCACTTGAAGACCTACTACATAGATGAAGTAAAGTTTGATATTATGATAAGTTAAAGTTTTCCATTATTCACTCACCGTTTTGTTGATGAACTAATAATTAAATTTTTATTTTGTATAGTTTCAATACCAGTTTTTACATTACTGTCTAAAAAATCTACTGTATCCGAGACCATGTTTTCCGTCTCTTCACAGGCAGTCAAAGTAATTTCTGAAGCACTAGTACTGGTTATTGTTGAAGAGTCAGAGTCAGGGGCTTTTCTACAAGAAATTATGTGGACAAATTAGTATGTAGTTATTAGGATATAATATGTACAAACCTTTTTATACTCAAGGGCTCAGTTTGTTGT